CCTCTTTCCCGTTTTCCTGAAGCACTGGGTCACTGGTCTTTAAGGATGTGATCCCTAATGTCACACCTAGTCTGGAGACGAATCATGAGATCAGCAAAGCAAGCAACAGCAAAGCGATTTGCCCTTCAAGCAATGTTAACATTTGGGCAGTCGTGGCTTTCCACAGGGTGACACCCTACATAGCTACCAATCAGGATCGATGGACCTATGCAAATTTGGAATCAAATGGGTGTCTCCAGAAGGTGGCAATGCCCCTGGGACATTGCCAGGGAACAGTCAACGTCAGCCTCTGATGGACTGTTGAAGGAGGACCTCATTCGCCAGGACTTGTTTGTTCACTAGCTTAATAAGACAAGGTCGGTTACAAAGCCAGAGCACACCTGGGGCTGACTGCCCAGCTCCGTGGCGGCCCCTGCTGGTGCTCTAATGGTGATGCCAGGTGGGAAGGTCCGTCTGGGCACCTTCAAAGCACTTGGAGGGGAACCACTCCCAGCTTCCCACTCTCTCCAGGAAGCCAATTATCCCCATGCCTCTGTGACCTCTCCTTGGGGACCTCTCATTCCTCAGTAGCCACCAGGGGCCAGGTTTGGCTTAGTAACAAGTTCCCCTCTTCTTTCAACTTCAAATGATCTAAAAGCAGAAAAAGGGTCAGCCGCCCTTTCTTAGTTTCTCTTTAAAACAACCCTCTGAATGAATTCAAAGATTTAATTTGTTTTAGATTTAAACTTGCACTAACCAACTTTTATGACAAATTTTCACAGTTAAGGGCTATTTGCTTAGGCTAGTTTAGCCCTGTCCTCTTCAGGAGACACGCGTTCCAGCTTCTAGGAGCATTGGTGACTCCATATCGCCACCGTGTGGTGGTCTTATCCTGGACGACCTGATCAGGTTATGAAGAGTTTTTCCTTCCCTTTTGAATATTTCCATCTCTTTTCTCCTTGGTTGGTAACCATACTCATAACACAATTTCATTGTTAAAGCCTTCATGGTATATTATTACATTAGACCTTTTAAACAATGAGTGACTGTCATTTATGCCTGAAATAAAGATGAGCTCATTATTTCAGCTGCACCCAGATCTCCTACTCCAGGACAATATTCTTTCTGCTCTGATCGAAAACAATGCAACTGACATCACAAGTCAAAACTAAGCCTGATAGCAACTGAGGCCAGGATTCTGGGAAGAATCCAGGAAGAAAAACTGGTAAGACTTCAGCTCACTGCCTATACCCTGGCTTGGCTTTTAGAAGTTGAGGCAGCCTGAGAAAGGCCAGGACGGCAGGAAATGGGGCAGAGGGTGTGTAATTCAAAGGCTGGAGTGGGATGCGGATATGCCTTCCCATTAAGCTGGTCACTATCTGCAACAGGTCTGCAGTCTTTTCCAACCCTAATTACTTAATGTTGATGCATGCATAATGACTTCAGGAAACCTAAAATTATGTTGTTAAAGGAACAGCTGCAGGCCTCCCAGCCGCCTGTAGGATGGCATCAAACCTGAGTTCTACAGGCAGAAAAGGGTCCTTTGAAGGGTTTGCTTGTGCTGATTATAAACTGCAGTCATTCTGGAGCTCAGTGATCTGAATGGATTTGCAACTAAGACTCACAGCAAGGGGTTTTTCATGCTGACATTTTCCTAGCCACTTTATTCAAAGTGGTTTGAGTCCAACCATAATTTATGCATCGCTCAGGTATTTCTTAAATCCTTCCTGCAGACAATGGGATGGTTGTTGAAAAGGTCAATAATTGGCCCAGCGCCCAAAATGGCCCAACGTTTAATCTTTTGGTCATTGAATGTGAGAGGAGGAATATGTATTAGAGATGATATAGTTCAATGTCGTCAGTTTAAATTGATCAATTCAATTAATTTGACAAATATTAACTGAGTGCCGAAACGAAGCTCAGACAGGACAGGGCGTGTGACACTGATGGGGTCCTAGAGCCTATAAAGTAGCAGAATATATTAGCAGTGTAATGCCAGTTGCTATAACAATAAAGCCCCAACTTAGGAGCTGAACACAATGGAAACATATTTCTGCCTGAAGTCCAAAATGGATGTTTCCACAGTGAAATCTCACCAACAAAATTCAGTTGCCTCTATAGCCCCAGCCTTGTCAGGGTTTGTGACTGCAGCTAAAGTGATTATATTTTGGCAGTATTCTGTCCTGGATGTGGCTAATGCCTTTTTCTCAACCTCTTTAAGTATCAAAGATCAGTTTGTGTGGAAGATTCTGGACCTCCAAAACACATTTCCTGTCCTTCCACAGGGGCACTTCAATTCTCCTACTATTTGTGGCAAATAGTAAAGGCACAGCTGACTCACATGAAATGAAAGCAGGAAGTGGCGGGTGGGGGGAGGTATGCAGATCAGGGATCAGCTATCCAATTAAATTCTTAGAAGCACTGTGGACTGAGGCTCAAAGATTAACTCCTAAGACAGTAAAGGAAAAGTTACTCACCCTGCAGATTCCATGACCAAAAGGAAAGCCCTGACTTAGTTGGACTGTTTGGGGACAGGAGACAATATGAGGTCTGACAATTGAGTTCGCGAACTTGTTGCAATGATGTTGCTAATCTTTTTTTATGTATATATATCAGAGGGATTATGCATTATGAATTTGTACCAACTGGACAAACAGTTAACCAAGTTGACTATTTGGAAGTGCTGAAAACACTGTGTGAAAAAGTTAGACGACCTGAACTTTTCATCAACAATTCATGGCTCTTGCCTCACAACAATGCGCCAGCTCACAGGGCACTGTCTGTGAGAGAGTTTTTAGCCCATAAACAAAGAACTGTATTGGAACACCCTCCCTACTCAACTGATCTGGTCCCCAATGCCTTCTTTCTTTACCAGAAGATACAGGAAATATTGAAAGGAAGACATTTGGATGACATTCTGGACATCAAGGGTAATACGATGACAGCTCTGATAGCCATTCCAGAGAGTTCCAAAATTGCTTTGAAGGGTGGACTAGGTGCTAGTGTCAGTGCATAGATTGTACTTCGAAGGTGACCGTGGTGATGTTCAGCTATGAGGTATGTAGCAGTTTTTCTAGGATGAGTTCATTATCTTAATTGTCAGACCTTCATATACAGCCGGAGATGTGAGCATTAATGCAGGTCTACCTTCTCCCCTTCCTCCTGCAGAGGTTGCGTAGGCACAGACTTTTTTTTTTTGCCACCAATCTGTTGGTTGCAATGGGGCTTAGCCACATTTCTTGGGTTAAAGCTATTTTCTAAATGAATCAAGACCTTTTCCTTTATGGTGATTTGAAATGCTGCTTGGCCAACTTTACTGTGTTTTGTTTTGGACTCATCCAGAAAGCATATTAAAATACACATTTCTGGGCCTTGCCCTCAGAGACTGATTCAGTATGTCTGGGCCAAGTATGAAAATTAGCATTTCTAGAGCTCCCCTGGTGATCCAGGTGGTCCTCAGGACCCACTTTGAGTAGAGCTGATTTACACTGCATTTCATTAGAAAACATTGGACAGCTCTATGGTGGTTTAAGTTTATAAAGATGTTAGGAAGCAGTCTGTGCCAAACCCATCCCAGCCTCTGATGCGCATGTACTGAGAACCAGGAGCTGCAGAATCGGAAGACCCGGATCCTCCTCTGGCCCGAGCACGTATGAGCTGTGTGATGTTGGACAACTCACCTCTGTAACTTAGTTTATAATCGGGAATAAAGCTGCTAACCTCATAGGGATGTGGTGAGGATTATATGCGGAAACAAGCGGAAAGCACAGAGCCTTCCAAAGAAACAGATTTCATAAGTATGTCACAGTGGATACTTGATGTATATATTGTTTAGGAACTCAGTGGCAGCAAAACTCCCCTGTCCCCCACCACCCCTGTGTCTCTCAGACATTCATCAAATGTGTCGTCGGGGTTCCCACCACTGACGCTGAGCTCCTGGAGGTTGGATCTAGTCTGTTAGCCTACCTCTCCCCCACCAGTGTCTTGCACAGTGCTGGGGACATAGTAGATGATAAATAAATATTTTTTAATTAGATGCAATGCATGGAAAATCTGTATTAGCTATTCTCAACCCAGGTTGCATATGGGATTACCTGGGCTCTATCCCAGGAATCCTGATTTAATTAATCTAGGGCAGTATTTCTCAACTTTGGCTATACATTAGAAAAACTGGGAAAATTTAAACATCCACATGCTCAGGCCGCATCCCTAACCAACTACATCAAATCTCTTGGGGTGCGACCCAAGCATCAGTGTTTTTAAAAAGCCCCCCCCCCCCGCCCCGGTGAATCCATTGTATATGAGGGCCTAGCCATCACTAAGTTAGAGAGACAATATGTGTATGAAGACAAACATAAAATTAAGAGGGGAGTGAGTCACTATGTCTAATAAAATTTTTTATTTTCTGTCCTTTCTGATTTTGGTAATTTAATTTAAGTCCTGTGCATATAGGGTTGCTCTTTCATGTCCACGTCTCTTATCTTTTTGGGTATTTGCTATTGCTGTTGCATGACTGTGCTGGGTTGAATAATGTCCCCTCAAAATTCATGTCCATCTAGAACCTGTGAATGTTTGGAAATAGGTTGATTGCAGATATAGTGAAATTAAAATGAGATCATTCTTGATGAGGCTGAACCCTGCTCCAATGAGTCCTTGTAAGAAGAGGGAAATTTGGACCCAGACATAGAAAACTTCAAACTCCACGTGAAGACACAGGCAGAGATTGGAGTCTACAAGCCAAGGACCTTGATGGATTTCCAGCAGTCACCAGAAAATAGGCTGGAGGCATGGAACAAACTCTCCCCCAGACCCTCTAGGAGGAACCAACTCTGAGCATATGTTGATTTCAGACTTCTGTTCTCCAAAATTGTGAGAATACATTTTTGTATTCTCTCACAGTTTGTATATTTTAAGCCACCCCATTTGTGTATTTTGTTGTAGCTGCCTTAAGCAAATAATACAGTGACTTAAATGATAACTGTAATATAGATATATTCCTCAAGAAGAAGATTGGAGTCATATTTCTGAAATCATTCTTTTATTGTTCACACACATTTCTGCTACTTGCTGAACTTGCTCTTAACTACAGGCCTAAGTTCCCATGCAACAAAATGTGACAAAATTCATGTATGGTCCCAAAGGCTAAACTGAAAGTTAATGAATGTGTAACATATTTAAACTTTCACAGAAGGCTCAGATGATTAAAGCCAAACTTCTAAAGGTGGAAAATAGGTATGTATGCATGCTTTTCTTTCTGGGACCTGGCGGTACGTTTCATATGGTGTCACCAAATATGAGAAGTCCTGAAGGGCATGTTTCTTTTCCATTCTTTGGAGATGCTGCAGATCAAGAACTCGTGCGGATGGTTCTGTTTAAAAACTTTGTTCATAGAGCCTGAGTGGTTTGATGTCTATGAAAGCCAATATGACCCTTTTGCATACTGTAACAAAAATAAATATACCAAAAGCACCACGTTATCTTTAAGATGAAGTACTGACATCATGGATTACAAAGATAATATAATAGTCATTTAAAGTATGTGACAACTTGTTAAATCTACAAAGAAGGCAAAAAGGTATATTTACATTTTGCTCCTTTTAAAACACAAATACCAAAACAATAATTTTATATATTAATAAATTAACCACATAAAATTTTCATTAATTCAACAAGTATTTCATCAGCACCCTCTAGGTACCAGTCCTCGTTTTAAGAGTCATCAGCATTTATAATCTGAGCATATCCACTATTGTTATGTAATTTTAAAATGTTACTGATTTACTTTAAAAAGTGTATTATATAATAATAAAGAGCGCCCTGTCCCATCTTATGAATATGGTTCTAAAAAGAAAAGGCTTACTTTTTCATGGGTACAGTTTCAACACTATAAAATACAAAAAAGAAGATACAATTATTTTTTTTTAATTATTCAACAGCTGCACTCCCCACATTTACTCTAATACAGATGGCTGACGGAATAAATTCAGGAGAAACACGTGTTGAGAAGAAGATGAATGAAGTAAAAATGAAGCGTACAAGTTCACCAGACACAGAGAAGGGCGGACTACAGAGTCAAATACAAAGTAGTAAAAACAGTTATAAAGTAAAGTGCCAAGTACCCGAGACAGAGGAACTGCAAACAAGAAAAAATAAGAAAACTGGTTAAGGAAGCTGAGGAGATTAAGCAAGTGGGAAAAAATAGTGAAAACAAGCCTAAGAAAACTGGTACACAGGAAAGCCCTGAACAGGGATGACTCACTTCTTAGAAAGAAAAAATAAAAATCAAGTTCATCTCATCAGAGCTCATCTTTAACAAGCTCTCTGTGGGCAACAACACTTAGAAAATGACCCCTCCCCACACTCCCCAGACCCTGGAAAGTCGACTACTTACTCATCATACACATCCTCTGAATCCATTCGACGATAGTACTTGGCCAACTTGACAGCAAAAATGATAGCCGGAAGTAAAAATATGGTAGCTTTTCCAATGCCAAACCAAAACAGATTCTAGGGATGAAAGAAAATCAAGACAACTAAATGTTCAAAGATGGGAAATAGAAAACAATAGTTGCTTGGGGAAAATAATTTTATTTTTCAACTTTTTTCTCATAATAGGAACCGGCCACTGTGTGAAGTGCTAAGTATTAGTATAATTCATGAACTCTTTGTAAAAACTTTGAGCAGGTCATATTTATGTTTATTTTATATTATGTTTATTATGTTTATATTATGTTTATGTTCTATTATGTCTATTTTGTAAACGAGGAACAGAAGCAGGGAGTGGTGAAGCCAGGGTTTGCTTCTAGGACACTCCGAAATAACTGTGAGCTAGCCCACTAGATGGTCTCCCTCTGCTGCTAACGGTGAGAGAATGGATGGCCAGCAGGCCTGAGCTCAAATGCCTTTTGTGAGTTGTTTTGATGGTAGGGCGACTAATAAACCTTTCTGACTTTGTTCTGCATCTGAACAGTGAGACCACAGCATCCACATCCCATAATAATACTGTGTGAAGAAGACAGAGCAAAGCTTAGTGCAGGCTAGGCTCTCAACAAATGCTCCATGCTTAACTTAACCAATCTTTATGGTAGATCTTAGGCTCAATTCAATCTTATTTTGTCTAAGAAGCAACATTAAAGTATTTTTTAAAAAATATTTGCCAATATGCACAAGTCAGATTTCCTATAGAAACCCGGATTTATGTCTCATCTTGAAAAGTCTGAAGTTTGACCTGATGCCGAGTCTCATTCTCACAAGGCTGCGGCTGAGTGTTGGTTCTTCCTTCAAGAGGGGCATTTATCCTCAGTTTGCCAGGGCCACACCACTAACTTTTGCAGGGGTGATATCTAACATTATCTGAACTTATTCCCCAATCAGAACAGACACAGCTGTGCACAATCAGCAGGACCCTATGGGTGCCATACACCAGCCAGTGTCTCACACTGGGCCTGCTTTGTACACCTACATCCAGCCAGGTCCCTGAACATGTTCAAGTCTGTGTCCTCTGCCTTAGGGTAATGCTGTAGGTAACACCAGGAGAGCTCTCCCCAGGCCATCCTGAAGCCACAGGCAACGGCCAGACGCTCCCGGTTCCGCCGCCGCATTTCTGCTTTGCTGCTGGCTGTGTTTAGAGCTGAAGGGCAGTGACACCTGTTGGCCCAGAAGCTCCAGTAATTAATTCTCCTTCCCTCCCCACCCCCACATTCTTTTATTGGTAGATTGCTATGCTTTCAACCTTGTTTTGAGAGGCTTTAGAGCTTTATGACAACGGTATCTTTCTACTGGAAGCTGCTTCAATCCCTTTGGGAGCAATGAAGATATAAAAGAAACATGCTAACCTGCAGTCTATTTTGCTGGTGATGCCGAAGCCCAGAGCTCTTCCTTACTATTTAATCCACCAACTGTAAAACTCTAGCCTACAATCGTCCTGAGTAGTCTCCAGGCCCCCCCCTCTATTAGTTCTCCTAGTATTTGTGGAGAGGCATCTCATGTTTGGGCAATTTGGCCTGGGGTCAATGGTGAACGCTGGATGCAAATAAATCAATTCAGAACCAGCCAGGCTAACCCAGGAGCCCTGCAATGAGGGCTTCAACCAAAGCCATCAGCAGGGCTCGAAGCAGCCGGGCAAATGCGGAAGAAGGTGGAAGATGAGGGGAGCAGCCAGGAAGCCAAGGCTTAGGGTCTGCATGCCTGGGTAACTGCCCGGTCGTCTTCATGCAGATCTGAAAGCCCATCTGCACACAGATGGACATGTGGGCATGGGACGGGAAGATGGACAGATAGAGCAATCTGGATGCACTGCGTCGGACGGCTACCTGACCATCCTTCCTTCATTCAGTCGCCCGTGCCAGGTACACGCCACACGACAGGGACACATCAGTGAACACAAAGGGCCTGCGATCATGGAGTGTAGAGGTTAGTTTGTGTGTTGCTGGGGACAGGTCTTAATCAAAGAACCACACAAACGCACCATTTGAACAGCAATAACATCTCTAAAGGAAAAACACATGGAGCGCTAGGGCAGTGCAGAAAAGAGAGCCTGATCTAGTTGTGAAGATCGGGTTTAGATTTTAGGGCTAAATCTAACAGACCCAAGCAGAAAACTAGTTTACATTATAGTGTGTAGTACAATCTGGAAAAGAAGGAAAAATCAAAAGGCTTCTTGGAAAAAAAAGATACGTTTGAGTTAAGACCTGAAAACGGAACAATAACTAATAGTAGTGAACACTTACTGAGTGTGTTAATGTACCAGAAATGGTGTTGACTTTACATGTAATCTCTCTCTCAGCCATCAAAACAACCTCATGCAGGTGATGAAGCTCAAGAAAGTTCAATAATTTTTCAGTCACAGAATTCAGAAAATGTAGAAGTGGAATTTGAATTCAGAGTCTGTGTTCTCAACCATTATATTACAAGACCTAGAGGAGGCAGCTGGGTGGGGTGTAGGTGTGGAAGCGAAGAATGAGAGAAAGATGAAGATTATGTGTCCAGTCTCCAGTCCAGGTAGAGGCAACGGCATGTGCAAAGGCCCAGAGGTGGGGGAATCGGGATGTCTTTTAAAGGAGTGAAAGAAAACAAGTATGTTTAGAGCACATCGAGAAAGGTGATCAAGTCGTGCAAAATGTAGCCTAGATGGGCAGGGATCCAATCATGCAGGGTCTAGTGTATTCTCTTCAGGATCCTAATCTTTATTGTGATAGCACCTGGAAGCCAATGAGGTGATGAGCGGAGGAAGTGAGAGGTCTGGCTCGCGGAGACACAGTCAGTGTAGACTGCAGAGGAAACAGAACTGAGGAATAAATGTGATTAATTGGAACTTAACATCCCAATGTAACATCTCAAAGGGCTTATAAATAAAAAAATTAAATTAAGTTCACTGTAGCTTTGGGCTTATATATATAGTTGCACTAAGAATCCTTTTGAATACTGGCAATCTGCCCACCAGTGGCTGTTCTTTTCCAATTATTCTAGAAAAATCGGAGTTTTCGTCACAAGAGTTTCCTGATTTCTGTGAATATAATTCTAGCAATGAACGAAGACGCAGCTAGGTCTTCGACTTTCCTAGTATATTAGGTGTCAGAACACATTCATCTACATTTTAGATTTTTGGTCTAAACGTAACAGACCCAAGCAGAAAACTACTTTATGTTATAGCATGTAGTACAATCTGGAAAACAAAATAAAACAAAACAAAGAACAAAGATGATGAGTTTATTGTGTTGCCTTATTTTGAAAGGTGAAATTCTTACCATGGGTTCGATAATGTAGCTGCACAGGAAGACATCAACAGCAGAATCTAAAGCAGTGGCCACAGGTTTGCAGGCTGCAATTTGCTCGGTGATCTAAGGGGTAAGAAACACAGGCAAACTCTGAGCCACCGCCACAAACATCCATAAGAATTCTTCATGCCAGTTACCTTTGTCCTCTTTCCACAAGAAGGATCTCTGTCTTCTGAAGATATGGAACTGACAGCTGATTTGTACAGATGAATTCTATGACATATAGAAGTATATGCTTGAAAGAAAGACCCTGATTCTCCCTGAGTCCAGTTTCTGGTTTCCAGTTTCCTCATTTGCTATTTAGAACAATAAGACCCATCCTACTGGACTCCTGAGAGAATTAAAAAATACACGTGTGTCCAGCACGGTGTCTGTCTGAATTTCTTACCTGACCCCTTTGTGATCTGACAAAGGATGTGGGAAGAAAATGGAAAGTTAGTTAACTAATAAGTGTACATGTCAGAACAGGGATCCGCAAACTTTTTCTATAAAGGGCCAGAGAAGAAATATTTTAGACTTTGCAGGCTAGGCTGAGACATATCTGTCCCAACTGCCTGCCTCCACCATGGTATGGCAAAAGCACCCATGGACAATATACATACAAATGGGTGTGGCTGTGTGCCAATAAAGTTTTATTTATAAAACAGCAATACCTGCTGACCCCATTTTAGAAGACAGAAAACAATGTACTCATTAATGAGGTAAACTCATAAACAAGTTTAATGAATCCCAGACAGATGCGCCAATCCTACTGACTTAAGAGAGCTACGTTCATTCATTGCGAAAAACTCTGGAGTAGGGACATTAAGCTAGACGCTAGCTCTTTTGAGTGGGCGTGTCTTATTTCTTTTCCTTTATTGGTTAGCTCACCTGTACCTTACAAGGCAACCCATATGAACAACCTTATACCTCTCCAAGCTCAAACAACTCTATACCCTCTTTGTATAGGCTTTTTCACGGTTAGTTTTATAGAAAATGGGGTAGGGATCATATTCTGTATGCTTTCCTCCATCTTGCTTTTCTCTCCAAGTCCCGTGGTGCATGAAACTGAGGATCTCTATGACTTTGATTAAATTTAGTTTTAAATCCTAGTTCTGGAAATCATATCCCTCTCTTTCTATATGTATAGACCTAGCTTTCCCCCCAGATAATCAGCAACCCCTGAGGCAGCAAAAGACTGTAGCCCGGACCTGAATAATGGTCACAAGGTCCAGACCTCTGGTAGGCTAAGGAGAGCATCTTAAGCTATGTTTCAATTCCCAGGCCCTAAGGTGGAACGACCCTCTGACTACTTTCCCCTGAGACTGGAGAGGAAATCCACAAGAGATATCAAAACTGTCCTCAAGACCTGAAGAACTGATTCCTTCCCCTTACCTCACCTCCAACCAATTCGTTCTCAACACGACCCCAAACCTCTAAGCCATGGGGTCTTGTGAATTTGCCCTATAAATCTGTAACCTACACACCACTGGAGCACCAGATTTTTGAGTGCTAGCTCACCTGTGTCTCCTGTGCCATTTCCTTAATTAAACCTCTACTTTCTTTGCTGCCAACGCCTGTTCGTGTCTCTCCACGGGCTTTGTTGGGTGCAGGCTAAACGAACACATTGAGTTCGGTAATGTAGCTCTGATCCGTTTTGTACAAATGGCCGCCTAACAGTCCCACAGTGTGGCTTGTGTGTGACTTAAGCATTCCTGTCCAGATTCACACTGGCTCTAATATAGCAGGCTCAGTGTTGCCCAGGGAGTATACAAGTCATACCTTCAAACGGAGTCTTAAATTAAGGAGCTCATGGCTTACTTGCAGAGACACAGTCAAGTGTGGCAAGAATCCCTGTGACAAAGGTGAGCACAGGGCGCTGGGGGAGGCCACGAAGGGCATGTTCTCCAACCTGGCGGGCAGGCCTGACGAACCGCCCAGTGTGAGTGACACTTGTGCTGAATCTCATGGCACCTCTAGTAATGGTCTCCAAGTTCAAGGCCATTTTACTCATCTCTTACAAAATTACCAGGAATTTTATTTTATTTCCTCCTGACTTTATCCTTGAAAAAGACTATCCTAACACACAGCCTCCTTCGGTTCATAGAAGATAAACCACTTACAGAGATCTTGACCCACTGCAGGTAACGTTCAAAATATCCAAGTATCATATTCCCATACTTCTTACTTTCCTGGAAAGAAATCAAAGAGTAGTAAAACCATTAGGATGACTATGCCCTACTCTATTGAATCTTGTAGTTATGGTCACAACACACACTTATTAGCTTACCGATTAAAAAATAAAAACTTACTTGAACAATAACAGAGGAAATACGGTTTGTGATGAAGTCCTGAGCAGAATCCAAAGAAGTAATGATATTGGCCACTTTTTCCTGGAAAACACAGCAAGCCGACAAGGTATCAAGTGATAAAAGGGTTTCATTGGACCATTTGCATACCGGTGCAAGTGTTGTTAACTCAGCCCCACACCACCACAGTTGGCTAGTTAAAGAGATAGTGGAACCAGTACAGCCTTCTGAGGGCAGGGGAAGGAGACCAGCACATAGCAAGCATCCTTTCTCTGAATCACATCATTGAATACTCACAAGGCCAAAAGGTGGGTATTGGTAGGCTCCCTTCACAGATGAGGTAGTTGACCTTGCCCAAGGTTACCAAGCTGAGATGCATAAGAACTGACATTTGCACCTAGTTTTTTTTTGTCTTTTTTCATCCCAAAGTCTACACTCTTTGCAGTGTCACATAAATAAGGACAAAACCACTGCCAACCCACATGGCAGCTTGGTGGAAATTGGAAAAGGTGCCCAGAGACGTCAGAGCACACAGCCTGGCCAGTGGGTCAAGGGTTGATTTCCGCCCCCCTCACCTCTTATGGAGATCAGTGCATGGCTGCATGCCATCACCCTGAAAGTCAAGGTGCATAAGGGTAGCACAGGAACTACACACAGTCACTGGTCTGTCTCCAGGTTCCCTTGGCATGGGACACACACTTGTGACATGGCAGCCATGATTAGGGGTACAGGGATGGTCCTGGAGCAGAGCAGACCTAATGGTTTTCAGGGGAACTGAATCAAGACCTTGGCACATCAACGAAATGGCAGGCTCAGTGCTGCCCAGGAAGAGTACCAACTACAAATTCAGGGGCTCATGGTTCGCTAGGGGGACCCAGCCAAGTGTAGCAAGAATCCTTGTGACAAAGGTGAGCACAAGGAGCTCTGAGAAAAACACTGGGGGGGAACGCGTAGTTTTCTGCTATGTGGCTGACACCTGAAAGCTCTTATGGGCAGCCTATTCCATTCAATAAGAAATATTTCCTGAGCTGCCTGTGCGCATTTAGGTACAAACCGAATACAACACAGCCTCGGAGCTCAGTTTCAGCTGTGGGAATGTTGCAGCCAGAGGGAGTCCCCTGTGGTCAGTTGTATTAGCTGTTCATGATTACTGATACCTTCCCAGGCATGGCTGCCCAAGGGGCGGGGCATAGTTCCCCACCCGAAGATGATGGCTTTCACTGTGTGACTTGCTTTGGCCAATGGGACGTAGATGAATGGCAGGTACGGGTTCCGAGCGGTGCCTTCAAAGGATACCTGTGTTTCCATTCATCCTCTGAATGCCACAGTGAATTCTGCACTCTGAGGGCCTGAGGTGGCCCAGACAGGAACTGCTCCTTCAGGCTGGGTCTCTAGGTGGGACAATATGTGGAGAAGCCTGCAGTCGACCCAATGATGAGAATGAAAGTTTGTGGTTGGAAGGCAGTGAGATTTGGAGGCTGTTTGTTAGGCAGCGTTTTCTCAATAAAAGTGACTAGTGCACCTTCTAAGCTTGCGTTCTGCACACCCAAACACAGCTTTCTTCTGTGTGCCTAACAACGTGCTGAGATGAGGTCTGCATTGATAGAAGCACTCATAGAAAGATAATGATAGGAAAACCCAGTTTGGCATTTAAAATGGGTGGATGACTGATGCTTTTTAGTTATGTAAAATACCTGCAAAACCAACATCTCTGAAAAATCTGTGTGTGTTTTTATAACAAGACCCTGTGACAGAAAAAGAAAATAAATCCTTACCCCCAATCCAGTGCTTTTGTGTTGAAGACTCTGGATACGTCGGTATAAACTTCCCTGATGGTGAACAAACATAGATAATATTTTCCAACTGATTACATGAAATAGCAAGATCACACAACTTGTGTCCCCCTCCCGCCTGTCAAGTCAGCCATGAAATCCAACATTACTCTGTAATGGTGTTATTCTAGAAAAAACAACAGACACAATAACGGTGTGTATCTCACACACCTCTGGTGTGAGAACACTGGAAGAAAATTAGGATACGTATTCTAGAGCTTCAAAGGGAAGCACATGACATGACATGCAAGGTGTCAGTTTTGCTCAAAGTGGCAGACTACTTAAAATAAAGCCTGCCCAACAAGAGTGGTTTGATTTGCGTGGTTTAGATCAGGGATTGGCTGATTATATCACTTAAGGCCAGATAGTAAAGATTGCAGGCTTTGTGGGCCATACCCCTCCACAACCACTCAACTTTGCCCTTGTGGCCAAAAGCAGCCACAGATCACCTGCGAATAGTGGGCAGTGGCCGTGTTCCAATAAAGTTTATGTGTAAAAACAGGCAGCAGGCTGGACTTGGCCCACAGGCTGTAGTTTTCAGGGCCATAGTTTGTTAACCCCTCGTTTAGATTGTAGGTCACGTGTACAGAACAACTAGCCTATTTGCAGACAGGTTACCCCAGCTCTGAAAAGACCAAGGAGTCCTGTGTCTACGTGAAGGAAGGCATTTAGGGAACATGCAAAAACCAGCTTAAATGTTAACAAATTTGTGCTAGCCACAAACAAGCGTAGCAGAGAACTGTGGTGAGCACAGCACACAAATTAAGAAAATTCAATTTCTTGTGGACTTTGTGAACACTCTGATGAATTAGGAAGTCAGGGGGAAATGGGAGAGAGGGATGGTAAAAACTAGTTCTGGAAGGTTCTGAGGTTGGAGGTCAAGTAGGCTAATACGCGTCTCCAAGTTTGGGCAGGCTCATCTGTAACCCGGTTTCCACACAGTCTTCTCCTTGACAGCTGTAAACCCAACCATCCCCCACAAGCACAATCCTAACTCCTCCTATTTACAGAGTCCACCTTTATCACCTGGAACCAGGCAGCAGCCAAGCAAGAAATGGTCCCACCATTGTTTGAGGAGGAAACTGGATACTATAGGACTGTGGAGAGGCAGACGCTGGATTTGAAATCAGGTCAGCCTGACTCCAGAGCCACTATTTTCTCTCTGCTACACATTGCCTCTCTGCCTGTCAGGAAAGAAGCCAGCAGGCAGGAGGAACAAGGAAGGGAAAGTCAGACAGTAGGACGGGAGAGAGGAGGGAGGAAAATGCCTGATTGGGACAAAGAACAGAGCAAACGGAGGCAGAGCTGAACGGACTTACCCTTGCCTTCACATATTACTTGGCAGGTTTGGAGAAAAAGAATTTGAGAATAAGGAAGTCCAGAGCAGAGACCTCAGCACTGTGGCCAAGTGCCTGCCTCACAGGGGCTGCTAAAGGCTATGGAAACCACAGCACAGTGTATGAGGCAACCACAGATTTCATCTACCTGTTCACACTCAGATGGAAAAAGGCAGGGAGATAAGCAGAAAGGAGGGATAAAATTGAAAAACTGTCTTCTTTAAAGCCCAGCTACTGTCATATATTTCTTAAATAGCTCAATTTCTTAGCATGACGCCAATTGGATTTGACCTCTGTGAGATGCACATGTCACCAAGCCAACGAGGTGAGACGGATTGTGCCCAGGTAACAGTTTAATGCCAGAGGTTGTTCATTCTTACCATCAATTGTCTCAAAGGCATGACTTGGTCATGGTAAAGTGTTCTAATCGTTTGTGCATTACTTGTCAGGGACTGTTTCAAGCTTCCAGGGGGCTACAAAGAGAATAAAACAAAGATCAACCCCATTTTTCCAGACCCCGGAGCACTCCCTCTAACCCCAGGAGCTGGGGGAAGGGAAGCCATGACAGCAGCACACAGCCCTCCTGGTACGATGGTGACTGTGGGTGTGGGGGTCACTGGGAGGGACCGCGCCAAGACACCAAATCACAGAAGCACGAACTGTCAGCAATAGGCAACCCCACACTCATTTGCCCTTCCTGGGCGCCAGAGGCTGTGTCCTCTCTCACCTCACCATAATATAGCCACTGTAAAACCACCTTACAGTAGCAATAGCCCCATGTTACAATGAGCAAACCAAGGCTTAACTGAGCAATTTTCACTCAGTCCATACTTCACTACTGTTTAGTATATTAATGTCTAAAAATCCTACTGCCTCCATCTTCCAGGTGTGGAAACTAGGGCTCTGAGGGATGGAAGGCATTGCCCAGGGTCCCACAGTCAGGAGGTAGCTGAGTCAGGATTCAAATCCTGTTCATCCCCTAGAGCCAAAGTGCCTCATCATCGCGCGCTCTGCAGCTTCTCGAAAGGGACCAATTGCAGCCGTTTAGTCACCAGCAGGCAGAGCAGTTGATGGAGGGGAAGCTTAGGGGGCCCGGATGATGGCTTCGCCTTCCCTCACCCACTTCTTATCACAATGCAAAGCATCACATGGAATTTTCCTCCCACGTCCACGTAACCATTCCCTACACCACAAGGAAACTGTGTGGGCGTTGTGTTGGCAGTGGGGCTCATGGGGTGAAAGCACAGTGGTGCTAAAGCAGTTCAGGGTGCCAACACCAAGGGCAGGGGTCAGAAAGCCACTCTGGAAACCTTCAGACTTGTGGGCCATGCGGCAACAGCTGCTGGTGGAATTTCAGACATGCGCCAGAGAGGCGGTTTAAACAAGGGGTTACTTGTGGTTAGGGAACCTCTTTAGGACTTTGCCTAAGAATCGTACAGAAACTGACATCTACAGTTACAGCATTTAACCGGACTGTTGGAACTCACCAACTGGCTGGCTTTTCTTTCTAGTTCATCTGCAAATGACAAAAGATTCACTTTTGTGGGAGGTTTAGCTATCTAAAAAAGAGATAAAAAAAAACAAGTATGTCATGGATACAGGATTTTTAAACGTTAACAATATCTGATAGGCAACAGATTGAATGTGGGTCCATACAGTAAAGTGGGAAGGTTTCACATAGGTGACAACATTTTCATTCTTATTTATACACAGAAAACCATATTGTTTTGTTCAACCATAAAAACAAATAAAGTACTGATTGCTATATGCCATAATACAAATGAATCTCAAAAACTGTAGGTTCCATGAAAGGGACCATTAAAAAGTTAAGGCCATTAAACACAAAACGTCACATACTGTATGATTCCACTCATATGAAATATATACTGAAAGGTAAATTCATAGAAACAGAACACAGACTCGGGGTTGCCAGGGGCTGGGAGAGGGGATGGGGAACAACAGTTTCATGGGAACGGGGCTTTCTTTTGGGGTGAGGAAGACGCTTTGGAACTAGACAGAGGGGACAGTTGTGCAACGCTGTGATTGTACTAAATGTTAGTGAATTGCTCACTTTAAAATGGTTAGTTTTATGTTATGTGAATTTCATCTCAATTAAAAAAACACAAAATAAAAACAAAAAAGAAACACACATATCTGTGCTCTAATTTCCCCCAAAAGATCAAGCATGAACACATAGGTCATACCTCGGCCAAGTAAGCCTCATAATCTATTTGGTCTACTCCTGAAGAGCTGAAATCTAGAAGGTTTTTTCTTCCTGCTGCGTCCAGCAGAACAATATTGTCAATCCTGACGTTCATGTTTTCAAAACTGCTGTTTATGTTTCCGGTATGCTGCACGATTAAGAGAAAAGTTATAAATAAGTCCATTCTTTTCCAATAATGTCACATATGCAATGCTTTAAAAGAACAATAAAATTACACAGGACAAAAAAAAAACAACGCACTTGCACTTAACTGGCATTTTTCCCTGGTACTTGTGTCCCCCCTCCCACTCCTTGCCTGCCACCCTGCCTCCTGCCTTAGGGCCTGTGCCAAGTGCCGTGTGAGGAGGTGGGGCGTAAAACAAATAGTATTGCACCTCTACGCTCAAAAACCTCCAGAGGAAGAGGCGGTGTCACGATAAAGGCACAGGAACTGCATCAGGACACTAAGGGTGGGGGAGAACCTTCCAAGACGGGAGATGGGGGAGCGCAATAGAGAGGAGATGGCTTCTGAGTCTTGACAAAGAGATGCTGAAAGGGACCCAGCAGGATGCATGCAAGGAAGCATGCAACATGCACTGGACTTGGATGCTAGGGAGACTAGAGATTATGGGGACACGGCTGATGACTTGGGGTTGTCCTTAGAGCCAGTAGTTTCAGGCAGCATGGAGTGCCGGAGTGTCCTGGGCACTCTCCACCCCTGCACATCATGGTGCACAGAGAAAATGACCCATAGCATGATGGGCAAATGTGCAGAGGGCATCTATTTCGGGCTTGGTTACAAAATGGTATTTTATTTTTGTCTACATGCAAGGAATATTTAGGTAAGATTATTGATACCAAATTTGTATACTGCTTTCAAATAAGTCTCTTTACATATGAAAACCATCAGGCTATCATGAAGTCACGGTGCCTCTGGGAGCCTTTTGTGACACCTCAGTGGGACAGTTGTGGAGTTTGGGGAACCTCTTTCCTCGGCATCCCTTGGTATCTCCTTCCATTTTGGAAGTCCAGAAGAAAGAAGCCTCCTTCGATTCTGCCCTACAGAGCTGAGAAGGCCAGAAGGCCTCGACGAAAGAGGAAGTGGGGGCAGCCTAGGCTAATACCCTAGACCTGGGCAGCTCCAACTCTCTTAGTCCTTCGTCCAGCCAGTGTGTCTCTCTTCAGAGTCTTAAGACCCAAGACTTGGGTATGGGCTCAGGCAAAAGAGGAGAGGTCACTCCATTCTGTCTGCTTCCATCTTTGCTGCCATGTTGTCTCTTGCCAAGGGCTAGCAGAACTCAGGAGAGCCCACCCTGGAGGGCTGTGGCCACAGCCATGGTTCATAAGGAATGATGACGGTGTGCACCTTTGTTTTCAGTGCCTCATTCCATCTTAAGGGACCTGGCAGAGCCAATATCCCTGGGGAACAAGTGGGCTTTGTTCCTCTAGGAACACTGACACTCGGAAAGAAAAAAACTTTCCCTGTGAAGTGTCCTCAGAGGCCCCTTAGAGGATCCTGTATAATCTATTAGAGAAACGCATGACTCAAGAAAGACAGCTGGCTGGGATGCGGTGAGATGAAAGTGTTTTGGAATTTGATAGAAGTAAGGGTGGCACAACCTTGTGAGTGTGCAAAATGTCACTTTAAAATGATTAATTTTCTGTGAATTTTATCTCAATTTAAAATGACAAAGATAACTGGGTTTAATATGTACATCAATTTCATTATTGGTTCTAATGACTTACCTCTAGAATGTTGAGATGTTCACTAAAATTGTAGTGGTTCTCCAGCTTAAGTGTGGCATAAATACCTTTATTTTCTTTGCAATCACTATGGGAATAGACAGAATAATCATAATCCAGAAAGGCAGTTGTGGCTGCCTCTGTCCACTGTTAAGGATGAAGAGAAGGGTTAACTGTTCATCTTTGTTTAATCTATGAACATAGTGGCTTTTGGTGTCAACACCGTAAGCCGTCACCAATGGCCACACAAACCCCACCCCCACCCTCAGCGCCCACCGTTCCTGGCTTCATTCTCTGCTTTATTGAATATCACGTTTGGGGAACAGATCCAATAGGTTTGGTAAATATGTCCTTCTGTCTGTCTCCTGAGTGCTTTTTCCAATGCTGTGAGGGATAACACGTTTAAAATTGGGAAGAAATAAATGCTCATTTAACAAAAAACTCAAAGCTTGCTAGACACAGGTATGCTCAAGGTATATCACAGACTTGCCAGACCACCTCCATCCATACGTCCAGGTTGAGCTTCACATACCAAACATATGGTCGGATATATATTCTAATGGCAGGATGGAGACAGGGAAGGGGCTACAAACAGCCAGCTGGTCAGGACACTTTGGCTAGAAACCTCACTCGGCCTCACCTTTCCGTGCTTCCTAAAATGGGGGAAAAATGCCTCCTCAACTGAGCTAAGAAGGATAGGTGTCACTTGCCACCAAGACAGCCATTTCCTGGGAGCATGTCTTTCTGGTCCTGCAGCCAGAAGCCTCTAGCCCTGAGATGCCTGGGAGAAGCAACTTTCCCACATCCCAAGGCAGTGTGATACTCCTCTCCAGGGAACCCCAAGTAGGTTGGTGTTGTTGGAACAGAGCTTGATGCACTAACAATCAGAGAGAAGACTGGAGATTTCTGCAGGAGCCAGAATCACAAAGAGCTGGGATGGTTTAATCATGCACAGAAACGCTGATGGGTTGATAATGTCTGCCTAGAGCACACTGTTAAGAAGGATTCAGAGACTCTCTGGGCTAAGTAGAAGACCACAATTGATTACCAATATCTGTCATGAGGGCTAGGTGGGAGAAGGATGAACACATGTGCCACACCCCTTTGTGCCTCTGCTGGAAGAGATGGGGAACCATTAAAACTTCAACCCTATTGAACAGAGAGAAGTGGAACCCCTCAGGATCACAAAGCCCCTGGTAGCAGAGCCAGGACCGGAGCCTGGGCAGCCCAGCTGCAAAGCCCGTCCTTAGCATATCTGGGATTTGGATCCATCCACTGAATTCTTATTATGTGGCATTGACTTGGAGCAGGGTGATTCTTGAACAAGAGTTTTCACAGGATCCCGTTAACTCATCTTAGGGTCGACTTAACCAGCGAGTCCTAGTGATCACTGGACAGAGGGCCCTTGAGACATCATCATTCCAAGGTCTGGAAGGCTTTCAGGGGAAGGATGATCTTTTTGGTCTTATTTCTACTATTTCTTTGCTAAGACTAAAGAACAGCTTAATTGTGAAACTGGGAGTCTTATGATTAAGGTTAAAGATACTTTGAAAGCAAAATTCTCATTTTGCAAAAACAACATTTAAAGTAGTAAAAAATGCATAATGCAATTATTTATACCTGTAAACTTGTTCAAAAGTGAGATTAATATCCGGTTTGTTAAATACCATGCCAGAGAGATAGTATTTCCAATTCTCATTTAGTAAATATGGTGTGTCCAAAATCTAAAACAAATTAAAAATTTTTTAAAAAAAAGACAGTTTTACTCTAACACACATACATATAATAAAATGAATATTCTGCTAAATATATTTGTGAGATTTTCATGTCATGATTTTCCTCATTGATTTTCAGTTTAAAACTAGAAAATAATAGTGTGATTGGAATAAACTAATTGACCACTGGGTAGCATCAATAGGAATTATCAAAATTACTTTTTCTTGGAGAACACTACTTTTTAGCAAAACAAACACATTATAAGTGGGAGAAGAATAGACAATTTGATTCAGAATAGCTAACAGAAAGCCATGAAGCAGTTGAGTCAACTCTTCACTACTTCTCTCTAGACAAAATGAATGAAAACTCATACATTGTCTGACTGAAGTCAGAGAATCATATATATTTAAGAAGAGCTAATTAGTGCATGACTGCATATGTGCTTAAGGAGTGTAAATGGTTTCAGAATATCCCCTACTTTAACACAGTATGAATGAAGTCTGGTTTGATGTAATATTGTTATTATCATCATTATTAATTATTATTATTAATTTTATCAAAAGGCCAAATGGAGATATTTTGACAAATTGATGCTCCCAATTTAATTTTCCTCAACCAAATGAATTAATTAAAATGCGATGACAAGTAGTTACTTTAAGTCATTCACTTGATTTTATAACAGAATTGAGGTAGAAAATATATAGATAAAACAGAAAAACAGAAATATATTTTTAAAAATCGTGATCTGGAGAAAAACATTGGAGAGACAAAGTTAAAAAACTAAAACTTCATCCTGAATTAATGAAGCTAAACTGCAAAATGGCTCCCTAGAGCCTGCAGTAGTTGGTTTTAGAGGGAGAAAGGGAGGCTTGAGATCAATTTCTACCTGCCTCATCAGATTCCCACCAGGGACAACTGTCTACCACGAGGGGCATAATTTATCAATCTCTTTCACTTCAGATTCAGGGCCTCAGATCACATGTGTGGGCAACTGTCATCTGGGAAACTTTTGAAAAGAAACTTTCTGGAGTATGGGATGAATCCAGGAATTTATCTTCTGATGTTTCCAGCTATATTTGGGAACTACTGCTGAGGAGAATGTTAGTCTCCCAAAATATTACCAACCCCATTGATGCGTAGGTCTTAATCCCAGGTATTGATTCCACTTACATAAAAAAATAAGAATGCTGTGTGTGTATATATATATATATATATATATATATATATATATGTGTGTGTGTGTGTGTGTGTGTGTGTGTGTACATATATATATATATATTTCCTCTGAAAAATAAAAGGAAACTCAACTTCTTGAATGAAAACCAAACTACTCATCTTTCTGCACTGCTCTTAATGAAACCCGTAAGATATGGAAAACTCAAAGTTTTGGCTAAAGCCTTCCCATAATGGTCACAAACCCCACATTTACCTGGAACAACTTCTTGTTTTGGTAAGGTTCACAGACCAATTTTTCCACATTTCCACCAACAACAAAAGTAAGAACCACAATGGTCATCAATATCCAACAAAAGAGGAAACTGACTCCAACTCCGCTGGAAAAAAAGAGAGAAATAAAGTTAAGAATTCTACAAGCCAGCACTTGCTGACTCTACCTATTCAATGTAAAAAATGGACCTGCCGTCTTCAGCTATTTGCAGTTTAAACAGGTCAGCCTACCCGGGGTGAAGACAGAAAGTGGTGGGCACTGTGGTCTTTCAGCCCTAGGCACATATTCAGGGAACCCTTACAGCTTACGCCCTGGTCTGCTTGCAGTCTGGCACTCTGGTTCAGACCTAGGTTCTGAGTCAGTCGAGTGAACCAAGACTTTCTACAGAGGACAAAGTGAATGGGGAGGTTATGAGGCAGGAAATTTGCCCTTTGCAGTCTAGAAGAGACCAACATGGCTCTACATCCAGAGAGAGGACAAAGAGTGGGGTGAATGGCAGCTCGAGTGGCTGGTTAGGGTGTACCAGAGAGGGCCTGGGGAATCCAGGGAAGGGAAGCTACTGAGGCGCTTCAAGCACTGGGACGAACACAACCCAGTTTCTCTGAAGAACAGTCTTGGCAGAGCCTGAAAGATGGGATAGATAGACAACCTCTGGTCTATATCAAGTTTCTAGAGTTTCACAGTGAACAAACTAGAAAACCATATAGAATAGTGTCTGATATCAGGTCAGTCTTTAACAAGCATCTGGTGAATGGATGGGTGGATGGATGGGTGATGGATGGATGGATGGATGGATGGATGGATGGATGACTAGATGGATGGATGGATGGATGATGGATGAATGAGGTGGATGGATGGACAGAAGGATGGATGGATGGATGATGGATGAATGGGGTGAATGGGTGGATTGATGGATGGACAGAATGATGGAGGGATAGATGGATGGATGGATGGATACATGGATGGACAAAAGGATGGATGGATGGGTGGGTGGACAGATGAATGGGTGGATGGATGGGTGATGGATGGATGGATCGATGAATGGACAGAAAGATGGATGGATGGGTGGGTGGATGGATGGATGGATGGAGGGAGGGATAGATGGATGAACAGATGGACAGACAGACAGATGAACGGGGGATGATGGATGGATGGATAGATGACTGGATGGATGAATGGAAGGGTGGATGGTTGGATGGGTGGATGGAAGGGTGGATGAGTAGATGAATGTAGGAAAAAAACAATGAGAATCAAGAAAATAGACTTGCAAATAATTTTCATGGTAGCTGCTTTAAAAAGGAGCCCACCATAGATAAACAGTGTGTTTAAGCTTGTCTACCAAAGTGCAACCAATTTAGCGTTTTCTTTCACTTTTTAATGCTTGATGAAATTTCCCATAAAACAAAAATACCAATCACACCAACACACCTACTCCACTGGAGCCCAGAGTGCTCAGCCAAGAGGCCACTGAATCCATGTACCACCAGAGTCACCTGCTCTCCTCCCTGAATTACCCACCCCCCACTCCCTGCAACATGGCAAGAAAGAGCCAACACTCACGCCATAAGGAAGATACCTCCGGTGTTTGAGACACAGCCTCGTCGGGTTGGGGTGGCATGCCGGTCATAGCCAAATACGCCACACAGTAAGCCCAGGTAATAAAAAATCACGATGAGAGACAGCAAGCAGCACACAACCAAGCTCGCCAGCCACCTGGTGAAACAAGCACAATGTCATTAGACATGAAAGAGGTGACATTATCTTAACACAAAAGCTCTCATACTAAGGCTGGAGCAGTTGAATAATAATTGGCAACAAAATATTAGATCCCTCTGGTAATTCCTCAGAGGATGAAAAGACGCTTTCCCACCCCTAGTCTGCCAACCCAGCCCACAAGGAAACTTAATTTTTATCTTGGCTTTGAAGTGTTCTCACTCCATAGTCATGGGATTATTGCTTCCTTCCTTTGCTTTTATTCCATGGGACTCATAAGCAGGGTTCACTCAACTTCTCCAAGGCTACTGGTAACAATGACCCTTAAGACTTTTACATTCTTTCAAAGTTAATGATGCTATAAATGCTTATTATAATAATGATGAGATATGAACAGATCATGACTAGCCAACAGATAAAGAAATATTGGGCTCTTTCCCCTGGTCTCTCTGTAAAATATTTTGTGGTTGCAGGAATATTTGGGGGGTGTTGTGTTGTTTATTGAACCAGATACTCCCTACATGGTGAGTGCATTGAGTATTTTAGAACTTCACGGGCATCCTAAGTCAAATGTCTGCAGAAGGCAAATCTCAATTTCGTAATGGTCCTGTGAGACATTTGAGGATAATGGATCCTCAATTAGGTCTTACTGGCATTCCTGGAATGTACAACAACCTTTTCCGGCAGCTGAGGGTAGAAATGCTTCCCAATCTTTAAAACACTATAAAAGAAAGAATTTACTTCTGGGACAAAGCCACCACTAAAGCTTTTCATTCGATTGAAAGCAATCTTGATAATTATTATAATAGCCACCTGTACTCATTCTGTGGCTTTTGTTCCAAATGCTGGGGACACATAATTAAATAAGCCATGGAACCCAGCCTCAGAAATCTTTTACAGTTAATGAATGCCTCATCTGTTTAGTTAAATTTCTTTTTAAAATAAAGCTTATGGTCTCTGGGCGGGAGAGATGAAAGAAAGGGGGAGCTGACATGTAGACAGATCATTGTACCAGTCTTCTCATTTATGAAACTCTGATCTCTAATGAGATTGTAAGTTCGTTGAGAAAAGGTCTGTCTTATGTTTGTCCTGATACCTACTGGGGTGACCTAACCTCGTGGTAGGAAAACAGTTTGTTGATTGCAGGACTATCATTAAGAGCATAAGCAGCTGGGGTTGAAAACCCACCTCTGCTGTGTTGTTGCTGACCTTAAGTGAGTCACTTCTCTACCCAGAGCCTGTTTCCTATAAAAATAAGGGCTATAAATAGGACACACCTCAAGGGATCTTTGTGACTATTCAAAGGGAGGTCTTGCATGCAGTGCCTGGTGGGCGCACTGTAACTGTTCCCTAAATGATAGCAATTACTGTTACAATTTATCTTGTGCTCTTGCATAATAAATAACATGAGTATGAATAAAAATCTCTGAATTTCCATGGGTTTGAGCAGTAAGGATGGTTCCAGTGGCAGGTCATGGCTGAGCCTTTCAGAGTGGAGAGTGAATCTTACCATCTCACATGATCCTCCAAATACCTTGCCTCCCTAGCACTGCATCTGAGATGTCCAAAGACACCTCCCAGGGCCAAACTCCACCACTAGCGTTTTCAAATGGGGCAAACTACAGCTGCTCACCTGGACTCTCGAACAATTTACTGGTTTCAAGGATGCTCCTTCTGTAAGAACCAACCTCTCCATATTTATTTTACAAACCAGTGATGAAAAGAATATCACCCAAATGCCTTTGCCCTTCTTAATTCCTTTTAAGTTTTAAAATCCTGTTACATGCCTGAGATAATTATAACAGATTCTACAAGCCACTAAGGGCACCGAAATGGCAAATTATTAAAAATTTGGCTTAAAAATTTCAACCTCAAAAATAAAAAAGAAACACTTCATGAATTTGCATGTCATTTCTGTGCAGTGGCTATGCTAATGTTGTTTGCATAGTTTCAATTTTAGTGTACGTCCTGACGAAGTGAACACTTCAACTTTTTTTAATGAATGTAAATGAAGGCGAACATTTATCAGGTTACGGCCTCTTTGTACAGCCTGCTCTCATATAATTATCCTGGTTATAATGTCAAATTTTTACCCCATTCTATAGCATGATTCACTCTCCTAGTTTACCAGCTCAAAGAAGGCACGCACCTGTATGAATCATATTCTTCCAAGGTGGGTAATTTTTGGTGGATGTAAGTCTCAACGGAATTAATGGGATCCATGAAAATTGACAGATTATCCTGGATAGAAATCTGTTCATTTATATTTTTGATATCTGAACCAATGGAATTCAAGGTACTTTTGATATCTGGAAACAAAGATACCTCAGTTATGCATTTTCAAATGTACAGGAAACAGAAACTTTGTTTTGGACCCAAACTGAAAAACTTGAAACCATTTTTAGTTTTTCCCGTGCTATGTATGCGTTTAAAATATGAAAAGGTTCTGTAACAAGCATGAATGTAGCCAAGACCATCTAAAAGCAATTACTTAACTAAACAGCAAGCTATGAGCGCTGACTTAAATGATATGATGCTGAAATCAAGCCAGAGTTTTCTGCTACTTATTTCACGAAAACAAACAAACAAATAAATAAATAAGGATCTGTTGCTTAAAATGTACTGTGTATGTACCTACCCTGCGCCAGGCACTTTTATCAATGTTAAATCATTTATTCCACTCAGGTAGATATTCTTATTCCCATTTTACTAACAGTGACCCTCAGGGCTCACAGAGGTTAAATGTTTGCCCATAGGGTCTCTTTCAGAAAGCACTAGAAATGGAATTGAAACTTGGGTTTCTTTAACTCAAAGCTTCTGTTAAATGATTTTGGAGAAATAACTTAATCATATAATAATTCCTCCATCTAAGAAATGGCATTCAGGAACACAGTAATTCTCCGCGACCCATTTTTTGAACAAATGACTCCAGGTGATATTTTTGTTAAATTTTTGTTTGGCTCATAAAAATTGAGACTTGTTCAAGTATATCCATGTCTCTTACATGCAAAAAGCAATAGTATTCCCAGTGGTCATACAGATCCCTTAATCTTCATTCTAATCTTTCAGTGAGGAGATAAGTTCTAGTTTTCTGGAAAGTGTGTGTCCACAATGACGGGTCATGGGATCAAAGCTACGGGGGGGGGGGGTGCGAGGTGTCACCTGGTCCAACACTCACACAAGATAGGAAGTTGGCTTGTCCACAGCGATTCTTGACATGGACATAGTACGAACACATGGATGAGTGAAAAGTCCACTGATCTCTGCAGCACCAGAGGCAAGATTAGCCGTTCTCACAATGAGACCCCAGGGCTGCCAGTGAATTCTGGGTAGGTGGCAGTGTGGTCCAAAATGGAACTACATAAAAATGGTGAGAAACTTTTTTCAAAGTGTGTTGTTCACGAAGGTATGAAACCTCGAGAGCTCGTAGGAGGAGACTATTTTTTGCACAGTGGCTCAATTCCTCCTCCAAATAAATAGCTTGTGTGCCAAAAGACCCCAGGATCCTCGACGAGCTGACTCCATGAGCCTCTTTAATTGTGGGATTTCTGAGAGTCTCAGAGACTCTCAGACTCCCCTTCTCCTATAAACAGTTCCCTAAACTCAGAATCAGGACTCTTCTGCTTCTCAAGCTGCCCTGCCCTCCCACACAGCTCCCCAGCCTTGCCAGCTTTGGTGCCTCTGTATGTGCCTGGTGCCCTCTCTTAGCAAATGCCTTCTTCAGGCTTCAGTTTAGATGTTGCTTCCTCCAGGAAGCCTTCCACCACCTTCACCCCACTTCGGATCCCTTGCACGTGCCTTGTCATGTTATCAGAGTGTGGAAAACAGCATCTGTATACATGCCCAGCCAAAAAGTAGGCAGGGTCATGCCTTATTCAGCTCCCATCCCCTGAGCCCAGCAGAGCCTGGCACACAGTAGGCACTCAAAATATGCTTGCAGAGTAGGACCGAATAATCGAACATGAGAGCTAAGGGTGTCTATTTGTTTTGGAAGGACATGAAAATAAGTCAGGCTGATGGACTGGCACTCCCCCGGACCTGGGAAAACTCTGGCTTGTGTTTAGGCAGGACACTGTGCAATGGGCCTCGCTCGCACACCTCGCTTTGCCAGACTTACAAGGGAGAACTGCATGTATTGGCAGAAGAGGTCCAGGAAGGGGAAACAGAGAAAGTAAACACAGAGATTAGTAAGCAGGGGGCTACCAGACGTACAGCAGGTGTTAGCCGTCAGATGCTAGCATAGGAAAGTGTGAGCTTTGTCTCTAATAGTTTTATATTTTCTAGTAGAATCTTAGATTAAACAAAAGGGAACACACAAAACATCTAAAGCACTATGCAGTGGGACAAAATACTTTTCGCCCAAAGTCTTAAGTCTTAATAAATTGAAAGAACTCTATTAGGAAAAGAAACGAAATGCCTCTAGTACAATATTTTAAAACTGCTTAGTCAACAGATATAAAGAACTGAGAAGATGATATTTTTTAAAAGAGAAGCTAATCTTACATAGCTTAGAGATGTCTCCTCTTAGCAAATAACCAGGTTTATCCCTATTCCTACACAAAGAAGTGTTTACACTGCATTCTTCCTCTGTACATTCACCCTAAATATCATAACCTAAATACAATGTGATTCCATCATTGAAGACCAGTATAATTCGCTCAATATGAATTCTGACTCCAATTTTGTAAACAACCTACAGAAGAACCTAAAACACCATTATGCTAGTGTCAGAGAGCAGATGAACATCTTCCTCAAGTGACAAAATAAATACTTATGCATAGTATTCCTTTAAAAATCAATTATAAGTTCTCTTGGGAAATAAAATAATCCACAGCTTTTTTTCCCCACAGTGAAAACAATCAGAATGTGACCTCCCAAAACGTGGCTGATGTGAGCTTTGACAGTTCACAATGAGGGCCGGTCATCTCAGGATGGCCCTCAACCATACAGCTTCCGGCCAGCAGGATGATGTCAACCCATGTTCAATCGGAGATTATTATTTTTTTAAATTTACATCACTGTGTGAAGGTGGCACAACTGAAAAACTCTGATATTTGTTTGGTTTTCTAGGTTTTAGTGAGAAAGTATTTTTTAAGAGGGAAAAAGAACAATTCAATTCTTAATATATTTCTTTGGACTAACCAGCCAATTCTAAACAAGGAGAGACACAAACTTATTTCAAACTGTGAATCTCACCTGATACCATGTCTGTGGTTTGATTTTGTACCATCTCAGGTATATCATTAAAGGATTTATTGCCCTAAAAAAAAAAGTTCACAGTAAATTGACACACATAATAAGTAGAAGAGCAGTTAACTGGTATTTATTTTTAGCTTAGTATGGAGTAGAGAAGCAGAATAAAAATGTAACATTTATCTTAAGGCAGAAATGATCATTACATGGTCATTTTAAAAGTCTAAAAAAAAATCCCTTCAGAGGGGACTTTCTTAAAATTGCATGCATTAAAGATCAAGCTAAACGTTTTTAATTTTTAACTTTTAACTCATGTTAAAAGTTTCCATGTATCTATACCAGCGTTTCTCAATTGGGGGCAATTTTGTCCCTCAAGGAGACATTTGGCAATGTCTAGAGACACTTCGGTTATCATAGTTGTGTGGGTGCTACTGGTATTGTGTGGGCAGGGGCTAGGGATGCTAATAAATATCCTACAATGCACAGGACAGTCCCCACCACAGAGAATTATCAAGCCCAAAGTGTCAGTAGTGTTGGGGTTAAGAAACCCTGATCTGTACAATGTAACATGTGCAGATATAATTCATATATAATTCATATATATGAATTTCTCAAAATAGAATCTTATATTGAAATGAAATTACAAAACAAAATTGGAGATCTAGTCTCACAGAAAATAATAATGTCCAAAAATGCAGTTTATAGAAAATACAAATTGTAGTGAGGCTAAAACAAAAACAAAGACAGTCATGCCAAGCTATTGGGTCGTTGGAAAGAAAAGTCATGACGTATTTTGTCTATGTTTTTCAAAGGTCATTTATTTATATAAAGAACATAGATCAATCAGTGATATATTGCCCGTTTTGTTCCATAACCTTTTGCCATCTCTCAGTGAGCTTCATAATTCCTCGTTCATAGACAGACCTGTTTTTATTTGCAAAAAACTGAACAAGGTGCTGATTTACCGCCTCATCTGAATTGAACATTATACCATGCAAGAAGTTTTGAAGAGAGCGAAACAAGTGCAAGTCTGAAGGCGCAAGGTCAGGTGACTATGGTGCATGTAGCAAAACATCCCATCCAAGCTCCAATAAATTTTGACAGGTGATCAAACTTGTGCATGGTCTTGCATTGTCGCAATGGAACACAACTCCTTTACAATTAACAAGCTCTGAACGTTTCTGCATGATGGATTCATTCAAACTGTCTAATTACTGACAGTACACATTCAAATTGATTGTTTGGTTCCTTGGTAGGAGCTCAAAAAACATGACACCTTTAAAATCCTACCACACTGAGAACATAACCTTCCTCTGATGAATGTCTGCTTTCAGTCGTTTGAGGCGATCATCACGTTGGGACCAAGACTGTTTGTGCACCACATTGTTGTTAATCCACTTCTCATCACCAGTTATCAGTAGCTTCAGAAAAGGATCCTTTTCCTAAGGTTTAATGAGCATATTGTAGATGTTTATATGTGCCGTCAAATGAACTTCTTTGAGTTCATGCAGCACCCAAATATCGAGCTTGCTTACATATTCCAGCTTCCTCACGTGGTCGTGAATGCTTGAATGATAGATGTTCAATGTTTCTGCAATCTCTCATGTCATGTAATGTGGGTTTGACTCGATCAATGCCTTTATTTTGTTATCATCAACCTCGGTGGGCCTCCCTGGCCGAGGAACGTCATTGAGATCAAAATCACCAGCACGGAATTTCGTGAACCATGGTTGGCCTGACGTTCTTGTAGAGCATTGTCACCATAAACTTTAGGCAACTTTTCACAAGCTTGATGTGCATTCTTCCCTTTATGGAAGTAAAACTAAAATATGGCAAACATGCAGTTTGGTCTTCCATCTTCAACTTGTTGTAAAATCTCCAGAACTCAACCAAATCGCTCAATTTTGTTTTAGAATGAAGCTAGAACTGTCAGCTGTCAAATGACATAGCAATAACATAGATGCGAATGACTCCAGTACTTCCAAAAATGAACTAGTGCCATCTGTTGCAAACATGCGTCATGACTTTTCCAATAACCCAATAGATCACTTTGGGGCTAAATCCGTGACAGGAAAATGCCATTATTTCCAAGTCACTCAACTGAACACCCTACCTCTTCTCTGGAAGGGGTTTAATTTGTGTTTCTTAACTGTCCACTGGTGGATTTAGCCATCTGCTATGGAACACTGTCGCAATTATAACCGGTTCTGAACTGAATGTCTGTGTCCCCCCAAAATTCATATGTTGAAATCCTAACTCTCAAAGTAATGGCATTAGGAGGTGGGTTTTTGGGTCAGGAGAGTAGAACCTTGTGAATGAAATTAGTGTCCTTATAAAAGAGACCCCAGAGAGGTCCCTCTGCCATGAGAGGTCACAATGAGAAACTGGCTGTCCGCAACCCGGAAGAGGGCCCTCACCAGGACCCGACCATGCTGGAGCTCTGATCTCAGATTCCCAGCCGCCAGAACTTTGAGAAATAAATGCCTGTTGTTTATAAGCCATCCAATCTATGATATTCATTTTTAGCAGTCCAATTCAAGTTCCAAGCTTTATGTTTGTGGTGCCAGTCAGGTTCACTTTAGTGTAGCAACAGTGATGTCATAAAAAGAACATCCCCAACTTCTGTTTCCTCAAAGGTGAGCAAGCTACCCAGCCACAGGAGCTTGTGTTGGTTTTCTATACACCTGACCCCCCTCCGCCGCCTACACATTTATGTGTGTTTGGACCTGTGGAGGTCACCCATTATGGCTAGAAGGAGCCTGGCAGATCTCCTAAGTCAATTCCTTTATTTAATAAACCAGATGACACCAGAGTCCAAAGACCAAGAGTTTTTAATGACTTGTTTAAGAGGATATGTACTTGGTTTATATGTGGATGAGTTTAACAGATATTTGATGATTTTTATACCCATTGTAAAAGACAGAGTCAAGAATAAAAATATTCGCTCTATTTCCTACAGAACCAGGACATTCTTACTGAATTACAAAGAAATATTTACGGTGCACTCAATATCTTGGTTGAATAAATAGTGACAATTAGTAGGCTAGCAGGGAAATCATGCTAGTCTGGACCACTGTGGTCCCTGACTTCTTTAGGGATTACCAGCGGGACAACCTAGACATTAAAGCAATAATTACAGTTATGAGGAACTTAAAAAAGAATACTTACCATGCTATAAGAATGTATCAAAAAGGGTTTTGACCTGGTCAAGATGCCTTCAGAAGTCCTCATTAAAAAAGTGATATATGCAGGGCCGGCCGAGCGGCTCAGTTGGTTAAGAACTTGCTCAAGAGTGCGAGCTCTGAGCAACAGCGTTGCCGGTTCAATTTCCACATGGCCCAGTGAGCTGCACCCGAGCTGAGCTGCCACTGAGCTGCCAACAGGGATGGCTCAGCTGATGAAAGCGCAAGTGCTCCTAACAACAAGGTTGCCGGTTGACTTCCGCATGGGATGGTGGGCTATGCCCACCCGCAACTAAGATTGAACCCAGCATCTTGAGCTGAGCTGCCCTGAGTTAACGATGGGTGACCGGATGGTTCAGTGGTTAGAGCGTGCACTCTTAGCAACAAGGTTGCTGGTTCAACTCCTGCATTGGATGGTGGGCTTTGCCTACCCACAACTAAGATTGAACACATCACCATGAGCTGAGCGGCTGCGAGCTGCCAACAGGAGACCAGATGGTGACTGGACTTGGAGCTGAGCTAGCTGCGTCCTCCACAAGATTGAAGGACAACAACTTGGCTGTTTCCCCTCCCCAATTCCCCAACAAAATCTTTAAAAAAAAACAAAACAAAGAAAAGAAAGTGATATATAAAGCTTAAAGTAGCTATTATTTAGTAGCCTAAGTGGCTAGGCAAAGGAGAGGGACAAAGAAGCAAGTGCAAGGCATATGCACAGCATGTGCAAATGCACAGAAGTGGAAAGAAACAAAACCAGCATGGCTGACTCACAGGCAGAGTGGGAAAGCAGCTTGTATCAGAATCAGTGCGGGGTCCAGCACTATACCCATCAAATTCTAAGCCCCAGGAAGGAGAGATCATGCTTTTCTTTTTATCTTTCTTGGTCCTAGCATAATGCTTTGCATATAAAAGGTGCTTAATAAAATTTTTTTGAATTGAAATGATGAACAAAATTACCTGTAAGTTAACAGTTATCACCTTTCTTGGCAATCCCTCTCCAGAACTTCACTGCTATTTTGCTGTCACTTATTTTCTTACGTGCCAGTCTACTCTTTAAAATGTAAAATGAGCTACTGTATTTTTTCCAAAAACATACCTTTTGAACCAGGCTGGACAAATCAGTTCGAAGAACATCATTAACATTATCAAGTTGCATATGCAAAGATGGGAGCTGAAAATTTATAAAACAAAATGTAAGGCAAGGTATTCAGCCCTAAAATTATTTATCATAAAAATGGGAGTCATCTTATATCCAAGTTTCAAGGCCTCTGTATCATACAGTATGATCAATATTTCTTTTGAACAATAGAGTATTGTTTGGGGAAAACACATTTAGCTCAGAATGACCTCTATAAGCACTGATCTTTAGATTTTTGGAGGTCTCCTGCTGCAGTCAGGTAAAAATTAAGGAATTTAGTATAGATTGAATATGTGTGACCTCACAATTTCAGGTATTGAATACTGTTGAATAAAGTTGTAAACAACCTTTTTAAAACACATTTAAAAGTAATACAGTCAGTGGCTCTATTGGTGAATGCTCTGGAATAACTTTTTCATTTTATATTGTACATGAATTTAAAATGTTCTATCTTTCACCAATATTGGAACAAATATCATGGGCCTCCTGACATGATGTACCGAGAAGGACTCAATATCACTGGGTAAAGGGTGTAGATAGGGGTTCCTGTGCCAGTCTTGTAAATTTTCTGCAAGTTTCAAAGCACATCAGAATAAAACGTTACCTCCAAAACAACTCGATCTCAAACAATTTAAATGCAAGTGTGGATCCTAGCTAGGCTCTAACAATCTGTTAGATGATGACAAATATGATATGCAGACACAGATGCTGAATGTGAATTGTTTGAATAAAATTGATTCATGGAATGTAAAATTGAGAAAAATATAGTTATATTAAAATGTTGTTTTATATAAAATGTGATATATATATATATATATATACACACATCTTGATAATAAAAATCATGAGTAGACATGATTATTTTATCTATGTCCCAGAACTTTATATATTCAAGTTAATCCAAATTCTGGGTTTTTTTTTTCTAATCTGAGGAGTTAAGGGTAATTCCTTAATAAGGGTATTTAGGCATATGTGGTTAATATACTAGGCACATCATTTCAAAATATATTTTAACTTTTAAAGGTCTACAAAAATCCATCCTGCTTCCTTTTTTCTTTTTAAAGTTGAATTCATTCTGATGTTTCATCAAATCAATCACAGAGAACTCTCAAGAAGGGGTTCGCATTATTCCTTCTCTCCTGCTGCGGCCATTCCAATGTGAAGATGAGAATACTGAGAAGGCCAACAGAGACCCAGGCCACTGTGGACCTAATAGGTGGACCCATGCTTAGCGCTGCCAGCTGGCCCGATGGCACTGCCCCAGGACGAGGTCACCTCCTCACCTGATCCACACTGGTGTTGTCATCCAGGTGGTCTAGAGTCTTTCTGATGTCATTACAAGTGGCCGTCATTGAAGGCACAGAGCACTGGGGGTCATTGAGCGATTGCTCCAGGTTCGTTTTAATGTCACTCAGGCTGCTATTAAGTTGTGCAGTTGATTTTTTCAGCTCCTCTAAGGTATTGTTCACGTTCAACAGGGCTTCTTTGGTTTCTTTGATTGCTGTAGGAACACAGTCCATTTCAGAACAGAGGCACCCAGTAGGCTGGTAATGGCCAAATCCCTTCTCATCTACAGAAGTCCCCTAAAGGAACTTGAGACGAATGTGTAAATGTCGCTGGAAGGCAACAAGAGAAGCCTGCTGCGAGGGACAGTCTGAATACGGGGACATTTGCTGGCCTTCTCTACCAGCCACTCCGACGAGCTCAGGTTTCCTACTTGGGGGCTCTTTCACACAAGAAGCAGGGGCAGGCACCAACCCAGGAACACAATGGAGACATCTGGGCACGGCCTTAACTGGTTGGCATTGGAGCAGCAACCTCAGGAAAACTTGTGTCACCACCCTAGCATTGCCCAGCCTTGAAGAGGCCAACCTAGACAAGCTGGCATCTTCAATCCCAAGTAGTTTTAATCCTCACTGAAAACTGACCACACCCAGAAATACTTTAGCTACGAATTTTCAAAGATCTGGAATTAAACAGAGCAACAGTTAAGAGTACAGTTTTTGGATTCAGGCAGGAGCAGGTGCAGATCCAAGCTTCCCTACATTCTGTGTTACTGGAAGCCAATTTCTGAACGTTCTTCGGCAATTTCCTCATCCGAAAATGGTGAAACTGCCACCATGTTGGTCATGACATGTGGGGATTAGTACGATCAGGCTGATCGTAAGTCCATCTGTTTTGTTTTGGGGACCCCCCCCCACAGCCTAGAACACATTCTTATACTAGGAAATCCCTAATAATTGTTTGCTATCTTGATTGCTCTGGGGCATAGAGCTCCATACTTATGACTAGGGAGGTAGCAAATGACAACTCTTTTCTATAGTGACTGAAAGCCACAACAGAAAAAGATGTAAAATTTAAATTAGAGGGCATTGCTTTTCTTGTAAGCAAGTTAAGTCTTCCAGGCTCACAAAACAGATGGCAGAACCACATTTGGGTGTTGCTAGGAGAAATGCCCTTAAAAACTGGTTTCCCCAACTTTCCTAGGCAACTACATAAAACTTAGGTGGTAAAACAACACCACACACACAAACACGCGCGCGCACACGCACACTCACTCACTCACACACACATGCACATTTTCATGCTTCCATGCAGTAGAATCTCATCAAAAGTAGTTTGAGATCTCATTCCAGTTCTGTTACTGCCTTGTAACAGCACCCTTGGCAACTTCCTTCACCTCTTGGGACCTCAGTTTGCTTATCTGTAAAGTAGGGTCATCTCCTGGTTAATTTTAGATTTCGTCCCAGCAGGTTTGCTCTTAGGAGGTGGCATTGCCCATGTCATCCAAGATGGCACCTCAGCAACCTAGCTTTGATGAGACCTGAGGAGGCTTCCAGGACTGGACTGTATGACCATTGGCCCCAAATTCTGCCACCATATCTGAATAGGAAATCTTAAAGTCCGCTTCAAGCAATCTTTCCTCTTGAATTTTGGTCCAGTTGTATCTTAACAATATTTGACACATAATAATGTTTAAGACTTTGCCAAAGAGTCACTCTGGGCCTCAGTTTCTCATCTTTTCCACTTATGTTCCAGGATTATCAACAAAGAATGGAGCTGGTACCCAGCTCATATTGGAGTCTCAACAAATATCTACAGTAGTAAAACAAGAAACAAGGAACACAGTTTCAACTAGAAACACAAAAGAATGCAAAAGAACACGCCAAAATGCACTTCACATCACACAATACACACCTCATATTTTCATGTTGTGTGGTTTACCTCTCATGGTTAATTTTTCTACTTTGACTTCAAGATAAGCTATTTTAAGGCAAGAAACAAACAACAACAAAGAATGATGGATGATAAAATAAATTGATGGCCCAGAAAACATGTGTCCAATTAGGTACCATCTATAGACATTCTGGGTCATGTGTACTATTCTGTCATGTCCCAAAGACTGGAAAGTAATAAATATACATATTTTTTTTCCAAAGGCTTCAAAGCATTTTATGGCTATAAAAAATCTACTGGGTTATAACTCTGGGAGTCATTCCAGGTCTGCCAAGATCACATATATTATATATTTGAAGTCAGTGGAAAGATATTTCAGACTCTCAATTTTAGTTAATTACCATTTTACCAGCTCATAGCGCATTTCCTTGATAGGTTCTGACCTGCCGCTCAGATAGGATTTGCACAAATAAATCTGCATGTTTCTATTCCCTCACCAAAGGCCACTAAACACATAAGGCTGCAAAAAATTTTTAGCAAAAGCATTGCAGAATCAGTTTATTAAGCACAGTTTAAGAAGCCCTGGCTCAACACCAGAAGCTCAATGTTAAGTTATTCAGGCTGACTTAAAAAAAATAATAGAGAACTTCAAAACCGATACATCAAGTACTGAAGAGAAAAATAAAATGGGTTTTAATTACCTTTAATCCAAAGAGAATTTTAATTCAAACATTAAAACTTGGGCAGATCATGGGGCAAAAAGTAAAGATCCACGCCAACCACACTCCATCATTCAGGTACATCTTCACAGCCTTTACCGTGATATAGTTTTGGAGCTGGAAGAGATCTCAGCAGGCCAATATTCCAGATGCACTGCCTCATGAGGGCCGCGGGCTACCGGGGTGCCTGCAGTCATTTCATGGCCACACCAGAACTTGAACTTCACATTCCTCACTCTTCCTCTAGACCTACACTGTGCTGTCTTGCCGTGGACAGCACGGAAGCATCCTACATCTTCACATTCTCAAATGTACCTAAACATCATCTAGTATGGCCTAGGTGATACAGGCTTTATAGGCAGACCGGGGTCTGAATCCCAACTCCACCACTTCTGGCTCCCTGATGTTGGACAAGTTACCTGATATCTGAGCCTGACTGTCTTGAGTTAGTAAAATGCAGGTGACCGTACCCACCCCACAGGGTGGTTGTGAGCAATGACTGATGTGACACAGAAAAAGCAGCTGGTTCACAGCACAGATATTTTCTCAACCTCTGGAAGGGCCTGGGAGGTCTTACTGTCATTGCAGTTAAATGTGAAGTTCATTAAGACCAGGATACCTACTCACATCACTGACTGTGGTGGCTTCAACTACATTATGTATATTTCGACTTTTCAGAACTTGTGTATTTTTTGTTTGTTTTTTTTAGGGGAAAAGGAAAGGGTAATCAATAGACCCCAAAGCCTAAAATTCTATGGGCCTCTCATCCTCTATAGCAGAAGTCAACAAGGTTTCTCTGTAAAGAGCTAGACAGTGAATACTCTAGGCTTTGTGGGCCATAGCGTCTCTGCTGTCACCAACTTTATCATCTTAGTGTGAAAGCAGCCATAGATGATGTCTAAACAGATGAGCATGCCTGCGTTCCGATAACTTTTGTGTACAACAGGTGGCAGGCCCCGATCAAATTCTGCCACTATTATTTCAAATGACCTGCAGACCATTGGTACTACAGCTTTGACACAAGCTTTAAAATAACTAACTAACTAAATAACCTATTGTGACACAGTGTGCCTTTTGCTGGTCTGTTAGCATGACCGCAGACCCTCACTCCAGCCAACTCTCAGGGGAACCAAGAAAAGGGAGAGTGAAGCTGGGAAGCCGGAGAGTTCCGGGTGGAACATTCTTTCCGTCGTTTCTATCTATCACAGCACTTACCTTCTGCCATGGTCTTGATGTCAACAAGAACGGGGATCACTTTAGGTCTCAGTTGTTCATGAATCCCACCTCCTAGCAATGACTTAATATCTAAATTCAAAGAAGCATAAGGGAGTGTGAGGGAGTTGCGCTGATTTCGTCCCCTCTGGCCACTCATACTCTTCACAATGCGGGGGATGTCCTTGCCTGGAAAATTATCTTTAGTCTCTCGTGCCGTGAAATCCCATTTATATTCTTGACCTTGTTTAGGCATTGACTCTTGTGTGGAGATTTCTTCATACTCTTCAAAGTCCCCAACCCAACTGTGCCCCAGTGAAAAGTCAATCACAAGAGACTCAGTATTTAATTGTCCTAGGAACAGGGTGTTAATCGCCTTGGGCCATGACGGCCTGTGGCCCCGAGGTCTTCAGCTAGACCAGGGTCTCTCAACCACGGCATTGCCCATATTTGGGGCTGGATGATTCTTGGTTGTGGGGACTGGCCTGTGCATTGTAGGGTTTTTAGCTACATCCCTGGCCTCTACCAACAGATGCCAGTAGCACTGTCTCCCCCACCCTCACCTGGCTGGGACAACCAAAAATATCTACAGATATTGCCAAATGTTGCCTTGGGGACAGAAAGGCACCTGGTTGAGAATCATTGAGTTAGGCTGTGTGGAAGCTCCCTGTGGACACACAGGGACAAACACTGCCCACCCTAGTATTTCTTTTCTTTTTTTACCATTAAAATTTTTATTTAAACTGTACAGATATTTTAATTACATATAATACTGTCTTGGACCCTCTCACCAACTTCAGGATATCTTTCTTTTTTTTCAGTTACAGTTGACCGTCAAGCCCACCTCTTTGTTTCTAAAGCCCGCTGGCCTCTCAGGGGCTCATTTCTGTCTTAAACAGTGGATGTGACAGAGACCCTTATCTGCCCTCACACGGGGCACAAATATCAAACGCTTCTGACTACAAGAAAACAAAAGCATTCCCACAATAAATGCTAGGTTTATTCACTGAATAACAAACTGTAATTTGTCAGGAGCTCTAGGGAATTACTTTTCTGTTTTTCCCCTGCTTTCACACAGAAATTGTAGAAACAGCATGCTTCATTTCTTGGTCCACATTGTATGGGAGGTGGCCATAGTGCCTTCTAGCCAAAACAAACAAACAAAATTGAAGCAACTTTCAATTTTACTCACTGTCCAGATCTGAAAATGCCTTTTCCTTAATGAGAGTATACTGGTCCAGTACATAGCTGATTTGCTAAAAAAAAAAAAAAAAAAAGAAAATTACATGAAAACTCTTCCAAGGTCCAAAGCCACAATAAAAAGAGATCTATCATACACAAATTATCCGGAATCAGAACATTTTTAAAAGGAAGCAAGTTCTTAGAGATGTTTACATTTTTCTGACACCCAGACTTCTTAATAACACTCCAAAGCTTTCTGGCTTAAGAAATATGATGGATAATTTTTCACATTTCTGTGGATTGGCCACGTGGATCATCTGGTCAGGGCCAGTTTGGCTGGGGACAAATGAAAACCCCTCTCTTCATGGCCTCTCATCTTCCAAGCGGCCAGCCTGAGTGTTTTCACAGCGTGGTCCTGGCAGCAAGAGAACAGGGGTGATGCTGAAGGCCTCTGGAAGCTTACGCTCAACACTAGCACAAGGTCACATTCACTGCATCCTTTTGGTCAAACCAAGTCACGGGACAGCACAGATTTGAGGGGTTAGAAAAAGATCCACTTCTTGAAGGGCAGAACTCTAAAGATTTTGAGGCCATTTGTAACCTATCACACTAGGACCCTTTTATTTAGTGGCTGTAACTGAGCTGGCCTCCCAAGAGGCTGCTTACTCTTCTGTCTCCTGTGTCTTAGCGGCTTCCTCACACCCTTCACAACACCAGTGCCGCCATTTTTAAATAACCACTGCCAGTCTTCTCAGTGAAAATGTACGTCATTATTTAATTTTTCATTTCTCCAGTTACTAGAGTAAGGTTAAATATCTTATTATGTTTGGGGCCAGTTGTATTTTCTCTGTAAAATGACTATTCACACTCTCCATCTAATTGTTTATAGACTTGTTAAGAGGTTTTCATATATTTTGAAGTAAATTAGTGTCCCCACAAGACATAACAATCTTCTTCCCTTGCAGGTTTGTTAAAGTAATCCCAAAGTTCACTAGCCACAACTGCTATGTGTTTAATTCTGCCAACATTTTAGGGAAAAGGTTTCACTTTGGAGTGTTTAGAATGACCAGTAAAAAGTATTATGAAGATTAATTTACAAATTAAGAAAATAAAACATTTCCCTCTCTGTATTGCTATAAAACAATGGATAAAATTAGCTTTTCTAATTTCAATATTAAAAAATGCCTGCATTGTTTACTCTTTTAGTTTCAACCACATTTTAAAAAACTAGTACGATATTTAATGTGTTCGTAATTTTTAGACTGAAATAAACTTGGAAGAACACATCCTGTGTGATTTGACCCATGGGCTCTGGAGGGCTTTTAGTGAATCCCGTAGGAGGGCATCCTTCTCTCCAGGTTGGTACCCATGAGCTCAGCAACAGATGGTTGAGCTGGTTTCTGCTCAGACATTTTAAAAAACAATGTTCTGAATAGACATCAACTTGCTTCTGGAACATTGAAAAAACATGCCTTCAGGCAATCCAGTTCCCCTTCCCCAAAGACAACATGTGTGTTCACTTATCTGAGCTCATGCATGCATGTGTCACTTCCCAATCTATACAGATATTAGCAAAGAGACGTTTATAAAATAGAAAGATTTCATTACAAAGGTAACTTCATTCACACATGAGAGTTGACTATACTGTCACAAAGAAAGGATAATGGCAAGCGAAGATTTCTCCTTTTAAAAAAAATCATGAGACCATTAAAATGGCTAAACACTTTTATAATATGTACTATAATTTTATATTACGCTTTTACAACATAAAATAACACCAATTTTAAAATTAAGCTTTTGTACTCTTTTGGAAACCATTTGCTGGGCCTTTTTCTTCATCTATAAAATTAAAAGATAACATATGTCTACATTGATTCAGTGGGTTTCTAGAAGGTCCAAATGAAATTTCAATTATATACAGGAACTCTGAAAGGCCCCAAACACAAAGCATCATGGAATATAGAGACTGTGTTTTTTACCGATGGAGTTTCATTCAGGAGAGTTCTCAAGTCTCTGAAATTACTGTCTGCCAGTGTCCGAGTCTTTTCAACCTGGGTCCTCAGGTGGTGGTTTGCCACAAAACCACAGATGATACCAATGCTGCAGGAAAATCCAAGAAGAAAGAGCATTTACTGTTTGACCTTGGTGGACTGGCCAGGTACAGGGCAGCGCCGCAGACGCGAGGGAGCAGCGCTGAGAAGAGCTCCCAGAAGGACAGGACCTTTTCCCCACCAGGCCCTCTCCCACTACTACAGCCTACCCCCCACGACCCCATAAAACACCCACCACCACCAAGTGGGCCATACAAAACAGGACTCCATCCTCTCAGAGAAGACACATCCACTTAAGACACATTGTTCGGTTAAACACTGAATCTTATAAATGGAACAATGTTCATGAGACATTGTGGAGGAAAAAATAATTAACAAAGGTTATAAGGCAGTGTGAGCAATACAGCCCCATTCCTGCACAGATGTGAATGCAGGCACACCCGCCCATGCAGCGCACACACGACATACACCACACACATACCTCTGCTCCCCACAAAGAAGGCTATCAGGAAAAATACCCAAATGATAAGACTGGTTTGGGCTTTCTAACATTTTTGGTTTCTCTAATTCTTTGTTAGTTTCTGTATTGTCTGGGTTGAAAAAAAACATGAGTTACTTTAGCACTAAAATGCTACATGAAAAGCTGCAAACAGTAATGTATATACTATTGGGTTGTCAGAAAAGTCATGATGCATGTTTGCGACAGATGGCATTAGTTCATTTTTGGAAGTACTAGAGTCATTCGCATCTATGTTATTCCTATGTCATTTGACAGCTGACAGTTCTAGCTTCATTCTAAAAAAAATTGTTTGATTTGATTGAGTTTTGGAGATTTTACAAGTTGAAGATGGAAGACCAAACTGCATTTTTGCCATATTTTACTGTTCTACTTCCATAAAGGGAAGAACGTGTGCCAAGCTTGTGAAAAGTTGCATGAAGTTTATGGTGACAACACTCTACAAGAACATCAGTGCCAACCATGATTCACGAAACTCCGTGCTGGTGATTTTGATCTCAATGATGCTCCTCGGTCAGGGAGGCCCACCGAGGTTGATGATGACAAAATAAAGGCATTGATCAAGTCAAACCCACGTTACATGACACGAGAGATTGCAGAAACATTGAACGCCCATCATTCAATCGTTCACAACCACCTGAAGAAGCTGGGATAGTAAGCAAGCTCAATACTTGGGTTCCACATGAATTCAAAGAAGTTCATTTGACGGCGTGTATAAACACCTGCAATATGCTCATTAAACGTGAGGAAAACGATCCTTTTTTGAAGCTACTGATAACTGGTGATGAGAAGTGGATTGTTTACAACAACGTGGTGCACAAACAGTCTTGGTCCCAACGTGATGATCACCTCAAACGACTGAAAGCAGACATTCATCAGAGGATGGTTATGCTCTCAGTGTGGTGGCATTTTGAAGGTGTCGTGTTTTTCAAGTTCCTACCAAGGAATCAGACAATCAATTCGAATGTGTACTGTCGGCAATTGGGGAGTTTGAACAAATTCATCATCCAGCAACATCCAGAGCTTGTTAATTATAAAGGAGTTGTGTTCCATCGCAACAACGTGAGACCACACAAAAGTTTGATCACCCTCAAAAATTATTGGAGCTTGGATGGGATGTGTCGCCACACCCACCATACTCGCCTGACCTTGCACCATCAGACTTCCACTTGTTTCGCTCTGTTCAAAACTCCTTGCATGGTATAACGTTCAATTCAGATGAGGCTGTAAATCAGCACCTTGTTCAGTTTTTTGCAAATAAAGACAGGTCCTTCTATCAACGAGGAATTATGAAGCTCACTGAAAGATGGCAAAAGGTTATTGACCAAAACGGGCAATATATCATTGATTGATCTTTGTTCTTTATATAAATAAATGACCTTTGAAAAACATAGACAAAATACGTCATGACTTTTCTGACAACCCAATACATCCTTCCATTTTATATAAAACAATATCATGCAAAATGATGGTGCTAAAAGTCAGTGGTTATATTTGGGGAGGGGTAGCTAATGATGTAATTGGTGTATTCATTTCATGGAAACTCATGCATATATATTTATGACAAGGACACTTTTCTTCATGGAAAATGCATTCAATAAAAAGTTTCAAAAACACTATATGAAAGGCATTTGCATGAAAGGTTCCTCTACGTGAAAATAAAAAACATATTTTTGAAGCCAAAAAATGTCTACATTTAATCATTCTGCATGTTTTTAATGTTGACTAGTTATTAACAATCTCCTGATTTAATTTGACCAATGGGTTTGTTTTTGTGTCAAAACCTTCCAACATTAAAATGTTCCATTTAAAATTGCTAATTACCAGGGCTTTGTTGGATTTAGCCACTAGGTGGCAGTAAGGAATTACATAAACAACACAACACAATATTTTACCTACAGAAGTCAACAGAATTGTTCAGTTTGTAACCGTTCAATGGAAGGTGCGGCTAGAACAAAGTTAGAACAAGGTTTTGATAGAACAAAATTTTTTTGCAAATAATAGGCAAACTTTGGGAAAAATAATTCTGATGCAGAATATCCATACTTTGCACCAAAAGCAACGTCTTAAGCTTTCTGTATTCATATATTTACAGGTAGGGTGGCCATGTGTTCATTTCTGCACTAAAAGTACCATGTCCCCAAGAAGCCTCTCAGTTTTGGGTAAATGGGGACAATCAATCATTCATCCCATTACAATTATGACTCATTCCAAGGAGCATTGGTTCATTGCTAGTCTCTTAAAATATTTTCCCATAGCAATATTACATATTCCTAGGTACACTAGGTTTCCCAAACTAATCCAAAAAAGTCTAGAACCTACAATGCTGAACAATATTTCTTATATTTAGCAAGTTTCAGTGAAATGTGTGCTAGATTAGAAACGTAAGCTTTTGCCACTTTTGCCACTAACTCATACTATGTAAACTTGAGAAAGTCACTTTCTTTTTGTGAGCTTCTGTTGGTATCACAAAATTGAAAATTAGATAAGTACTTCTCAAACTGCAAAGGAGAGAGGCACTGGATGCCTACAAGTCCTCTAACATTTTTTTTTTTAAGTTTGGGTTCATGCTGATGGTAATCTTAAAAAATGAATATTAACATAATTCTGTGCCATTTGGAAGGGCCACGTTATAATCCATTTTTGTCAGTCTTAAGTCTGCATTGCATTTTTGAGGCAGCCTTTGTACCATAGCAATGATAGTTATTAAGTGATGCACTCATGCCAAGTAAGGCCAAATGACCCAAAATGATGACTTTGGATCAGTGTGAACAGAAGAAAAAAATAGTTGGGGCCTAACAATGCAGCTGGAGCTTTATTTACCATGCCAACTTGCAAACATCCATGATGAGCCAGGATCTCCACCTGAATACGCCTGCCCCCCACAACATTTCACACTGGGCGCCCTTGCTGTGTCTCTCCAGCATGTCCAAACTATTTGTCATTCATTGTGCTCCAGACCATTTTGTCATATAAAAAGTCAAAGTGAACTTGGGGAACAAACAACAAGTCCAAGTCCACTCGGGCTTCGCTGACCCCTCCCCGGCTAGGAGGACCTCCTTGCCTTGAACTGCCAAGGGGCTTCTCCTTGGAATTCTGATGGGCTATTTTGTCTTTAACCTGTGTATAATTTCTCTAAAAAGAGGTGGAAACTACTTCTTTGTCAACTTTGCACAATGCTGGGTCTATGATGTATGGTGGGTGCTCAGTGAAGGTGGTTTTGAGGACTGAGCTCTGTTTCATTTGCTCTATTTAGAAGATTAGCCACATGTTTGGCGTGTCCAAGTCAGAAACTGTCTTTGTTCCTTTATTGAATAAATGGCTTTACTCACAAGGTCATCAATCAATGAAATGAACTGCAATATGACACTGAATTTCAATGCAACGTATTTGAAAAGACCCATATTTCTGCTAATCAATTATGGATCCAATTAAAATAAAAGCATTGATCATGTTTAAAAAAACTGATCTAAACAGAATTCTGGAATAGAATTCAGCAACTGTCAAAGCTGATTTTCAAACCCATAACACATTGTACATTTTATATTAAAATTAAGGATGAAAAATTCAAATGCCTCCATGGGCCGGCAGAAAGTATGAAGGGCAAAGTGTGTGGCATGGACCTATGGGAGCTGGGAACGCAAAGATGGAGATGGTGGCAGCTGCTCTGCAGTTCTAGCCAAGTACCACTGTGATGGCAGATCATCACAAAAATCTGGAAATCTGAATTCTTATGTAAAATCACCCATTTTTCAATGTTGGCAACTAATCAAAGAAAAAAAAACATGTTACATACCATGAAAACCAATTGGTCTCCATTTGCAACCTCTAATTTAAAATTTCTACTTAAACACAAAAGCTGTCAAAAACATGTACTGTTGGGCCGGCTGAGTGGCGCGATGGTTAAGAACTCGCTTGGGATGCCAGAGGGCCCCGGTTCGGATCCCACATATGAGGGCCAGTGACACTGCCCTCCGCAGCTGAGATGCTGAACAACAGCTCAACCTGGAGCTGGGCTGCCGTGAGTCGCTGGCGACGGCGTGGGCTGCAGTCCCTGTGGCAGTGGATTGCCATGGGCTACCGTGTGTGGCCAGCAGCCAGCGTGAGCGGCCAGCAGCCGCAGTGAGCGGCCGTCCAGAAGCCGGCGACTGATCTGCCTCGCCCGGGAAGAGCACAATGATGGTGCCAACTTGGGCCAGTGAAGCAACATCCTCCACAACTAGATTGAAGAACAAAAAAAAAAAAAAAAAAAACGACAGCAACTTGTCTGTTCCCCTTCCCCCAACTCCCCAGCACTGTTCCCATCCCCAAATTCCCCAATAAAAATCTTTAAAAAAAAAACATGTACTGTTATGCAATAAAACAAAACCTCTTGAAATTTTATCAGAAGATAGGACTTTTATTGTTCATAGCATATTAGTATTACGTCTTCTATGTGTTATTATGGACAGACCAATTTTCTTATATACACTTAAAAGTGAATATTTGAAGCTTTTAAAGGGTAAGGCTAAACTTTTTAAATTTGTAGCAATTTTTTTTCCACTGATTTTTACTGACTTAATAAAACTACCCCCCAAAAAAAGCCGAATAAATACTTTCAGTTTGTAACCTCTTATTTTTTAAATATCATTTTTAAATTATAATTTTAATTTTAAATAACTAGTCCTCTCATTCACATTAAGAAAGTCTCATGATATTCTGGCATGCTAGCTCAATTTCTTTTCTGGAACCTTGTGGCCTCCAAATCAGGAAATGAAAATCACATTGTAATAAAAAATGAACTTTGGAAAAGTACCCATCTTCCTGAAAATGACTGGGATTCAATTTTCGCCATGGTAATTGGCAAAAGCTGACTTATGATACTCAAAAACTGAGAAATATAATGGAGCAATAAAGGCATGGCTGTTCCTTTTTGTTGGCTGATAGCCTCTTTGAAATTCTGAAAAATGCAGCGAGGACAAATGAAAAGGAAAGAAAGAAGAGGAAACTTGGCTTTTTCTGATGTAAGACACATCTGCTTAAACAGTCTACAGTGAGAGGTAGAAATTCAATCTTCTACTGATGGTCAGAATTACATAAACATATGTCAACGTCTGTGGAATTCTAACATTCGCAGCTGCCTATGGAAAAGCTCAAACAGAGAAAGAACATGACCACATATATTCCACATGTAGTAGAAGATTTTTTTTCTTACCTTTCTATGCCTTTCTCAATTAAAAACAAAAGATTAAAAAAATTTTTAAACAAAAAATGAGTGGATGGAAAATTAGAGTACTCAAGACTAATTTAAAAACCAATTTTGATTTTTAATCATAATATTTTGTATACAGCCACAAAATGAAACTGAGTCTGATAAAAGGCAAGTGGACTAGTTTGGGCTTCTGAATTAAAAAAAAAATCATATACCAGGATTATTTATCAATAGTATTCAATCTCTGTTGAGATCACTATAAGACAGAGGCTCACAACTCCTCACCTTTCTCTTTCTGCCTTCTAGTTCTGCTGACAAACGTTCTCCTTTTATTTTATCTAATTTTCTGATTTTGGGCACATACTTTCTTTTCCTTTCTACCAAATCATAATATAGAAATCTTTGCTTTCCCCGCTTCTTTACTTTTCTGGGCTAATTTTGATTACTTGGAGACAATACTTAACTATTATTCAACCCATGATGTTGAGGCTACTTGCAAACCAGTAGGGGTTTCAAAAGGAAGACATCAAAATAGCTATTCTAAATTTAAAAATTAAAGGCAAAGAAGTTTAAACTTCTAGTCTGAATTTAAAGTAAACAAAACAATCTCGAATACTACTTTTATTTAGACCTATGTAGAATTAATATATAAATTCAATGTATGATATAAAATAAATTGGTTTTAAATTTGTCACTAGGCCTTAAATAATTGATCAACTTTAGTTTAATTATATTGACATTTAAAATTGTGATTTTCAAATTAATAATTTTTATTTGGGTGAGGAAAAATATCTTCACTGAGTGTGTAGAAGGCTATTTAATCACAGAATGTATTTTTTAATAGAATTTTCTAAACTAAAATATACTCAGGAGAAAAAAACTTATCTAAATTTGTTTGATGGGTCTGAGCTCTCAAGAATAAAAAAAGTGTAGCATTCATTTTGTATATAAGTGAAAGCCAAGTTTATTTATGACTTTGCAGCTTTGTTGGGTTTTTTTTTGGTATTTTAAACATAATAAAAATAATTAAATCAGTTCAGGGTAAACTATAATATATAATACATAATTGTATGTAATGCAAATAAAAGTTCAATTTAAAAATAGAAACCCAATACAGGATATATTCTTTATTCAAAATAAATTGAAAGCCCATTATTACATATATAAACATTTATTTGGAAAAGCTAACCCTAACCCTAACCTCAACCCTAACCCTAACCCAAATCCTAAATTCAATCCTAACCCTAACACTGACCCTTTTACTAAACCTCATACTATACCTAAACTTGACCCTAACCCTAACAAAAAACAAAACATTTATTAGGGTAAATGAGTAACTACATGCAATAAAGAATTTTCCTGACATTACATCATATGTGTTTATATCAAGTAAAAACTATTACATTGTTTAGTTAGTGATCACACTAACAAAGAGCCTTAGCTAAGGGTATTTTCAAATGACGTTTTCTCATCTGAGCCTCATCTTTGCTGTCCAAGAGGGACAAAGTCAGCTCTCCAAGTTTTTGTATGAATAAAGCATGTAAGTTTCAGCCTTGCAGGACATGCACAGGGGTCTGACAGATCTTTGGGTTATACATGACATTTTTCTGGTAGCTGGGGAGGAAGTAACAGCTGTAGGATCTGTGCATTCCTGAAAATACTTCAAGCGCCAACTAGAGAGACAGGGACATCTGGAATTACCATTGACCGCATCCTAAGTTACCTTTCAGAATTCCATGTGAAGGAACAGATTCAAATGAAAGGGGGGTGGGGGCAGAGAGAGAGAGAGAGCAATGCCCACACCCCCATCTCGCAGAGAGAACACAAAAAAACCCTGGTGGTCAAACAAGGGTGCATGAAATTAGCTAACACGTTCCCTAGGATCTTGTTTACAAGTATATTGTTAAAATCTATTATTTCACTATTTCAACAAAAGCATGTCTTTCTTTAAAAAAATAATGCTCTGGAATAAGTTGTAACACACTGGCTTTTGTTTTTTGTGGAGATATTTTGGTGGTTCAAGTTTAATCTCTAGTGTAGTTACTTCAGTAGGTTATGCCTAACTATGGTAGATTCAAAAGAGACAAAAAGTCTGTGTGCAATGAGATGTGAGTTCCCTTCCTTCCTTTCCACAACTGCCAGTTTTCCTCCCCACAGGCAGCCGCTGCTGTGGAGGTCTTGGCAATCCATCCACATATGCTCGATGCAAATAGAACCAAGTATCTGTGTCTCCCTTCTCTTTTCGGTTTTATCACTGGTGCCATATTCTACACATGGTCTGCAACCTGCTCTTCTCACTTCATCTCACTTGGGGACCATTTCGTATCAGCACATCTAGAGCTGCCCAGTCCCTTCCAGTGGGTATACTGCATTTCAATGAATAGACACCCCAAAATATACGCCTTACCCAGTGTCTGCTGATAGCCACACTTACAGAACTGTTCTTCCTGAATTTGCTGCCAGAACTTAAATTGTTTTGTTTAATTTTGTTGAATTTCTGTTTAATTCTGTTTTCTGCTTAAATTCTCAAATGTCAGTTATTTAGCAAAACTTGAAAAATCTTACTCATGGCTACCGAGCACAGGTGGTGCTTGGAGGAACGGTAAGGAGGATGCCAATCTCCATCGTCTCTGCGTCTCCTTGAAGGCTAGCATCATTCATGTCATAGGCAATTCATTTCTGTGGCTAAATGACGTGCTGGTTGAATGAATGAGGAAATGTGGAACAATGACCAAATATCACAACCCGGGGGGAGGGGGTGGTGTGTGTGCAGTGTCATGAAGTGCATTCCTCAGCTGAGGAATCTGATTTGGATTCAACAAAACGTCATTGTCCTAAAAGCAGTATACTTCTGATCTGTCAGTCAGTTGGAAAACTCTTGGCAGCAGCAGCTACAGAACAAACATCTTAAATTGCAACATGTGTTCCAGACTTTAAAAGGGGTAGCAGATTAATTGCAATTTCAAGAAAACCGGGTCTAGTATTAAAAACTTAATTCCATTCTACAATACTCTCAAATTACCAAATTCAGGGACTATACCTCCTCCTCTAAAATGCCTTGGGACAAGAGCCAGCCGAGTGGCTCAGTTGGTTAAGAGCTCGCTCAAGAGTGCGAGATCTGAGCAACAGGGTTGCCAGTTCGATTCTCGGCCCGAGCTGAGCAGCTGCTGAGCTGCCAACAGGTGGCAGGATGGCTCAGCTAAAAAAAAAATGCCTTAGGACGTACAAAACAACTAGCAAACACTTGCTCTGCCTTCCTGCAGGCTGCCTATCTCTAAAACGCTATTTGCTGTTTGAGGAGGTAAAAAATGCTTCCAGCAGTTTAAGATTTATCAGGATGTCTTCAAGATGAGAAACAACCAAAGGGCTGGCTTATCACCTGAGTTAGGCAGCTTGAGTACAGTGATAACTTCTGGTTACAGTGATATCTTTTTGAACTGTTCTAGGCAAGCATTTTTGTTCTATCCTTTTTATTTTTAGGGTTTCTTTTTTTTTAATTGCTCTTTTGTTTAAAACTCATCACTTGACAGTTAAAACATGAGATGTTCCTCATTGACCAAAAACTCAATCAGCTGTTGTCCAAGACTCTACTTGCCTTATAAATATACAAATCACCAAGAGAGAGACTGCAAAGCATTTCCTCAGGAAGGTCCCATTTTTCTTCTGTCGCTGGTGCATTTCTCCGCCACACTTGTTACAGCAACGACACAAACCAAAGCAAAACCCCACCAGAGGCATCAGAATAACAAAAAGCAGTCCCAGGACAGCACAGATAATAATCCCGATCTCATAGTGGATGATCTGTAAATCAAAGAAAAGAAACAGCATACACTGTAACACAAAATAACAAGTGGAACAGTCCACGGTGTACATACTTCTTTCCCTGTACCCTACTTGCCACCATAACTGTGTTTGTGTGTCCCTGAGCCTGCGTTTCCAGGCTCCTTCTTGAAACAGAGGAAGCAGAAATTTGAGTGATCAGGATGTGAAACCAAGCAGCTACTATTTTCTTTCAACACCCAGGAAAATGTCCACATACAGGGTCAAGTTGCAAATGGTTTAATTTCAACCCCAGAGGCATTCCATTGCTTTTTAAATGGCATAACAGGTATTGGCAGACGGACTTGCACAGTGAAGAACCTACATATAGGGTGTTTTCACCAGAAAGATAGGACCAGTAGAAGTTACTAAGGATTCAAAGCCGTTTGGACTGGATCAATTAATGACAAGTTCATAGTCAGTTACAAACGAATCTGGAATATAGATACACTTAGAAAAACGGCTCAGACTTTCTGAGTCAGACATGGCCACTCACTTAGTTTCCCCACCCATATACTGAGAGTAATAACACATACCTTATAAGGTCATTGTGAACATTACAGATAATGTATGATTAGCGATAATGTGCCAAGTAAAGTCCCTGGCACAGAGTGGACGCTTAATAAGTGGCAGTTCTCCCCGATGCCGGGGAGGCCGTACTCGGCAGCCTGCATCTCACACAGTTCCTCAATGCCTAGGAACTGGCACATCTTCTAGATACAATCATGTGACCTAAACATATTTTCATAATCATTCCTGGCTTTATTCTGGGATAAATAAAAATGAATGCAACTGGATGACGAAATTTGATCTCTTTCCAATTCATGTATGCAGTTACATTTCCACAAAGCAAGACATTTTTAAAGAACAGCAGAAAATTGTAGGTTGGCAGTTTGCAACTAATGGACCAGCTGGTTAGTAAAAGATTCTGAAGCCAAGCTGAGCAGAGTCAAACGAAACACAAGTGTTATTCCTCAGGGCAAATGTGTTCTCTTGGGAGAGAGAACACTTGAACTTGGAGTCAGGAGACCTGCTCTGGATTGCAGCAGGGGCTTCTAAGTTCCCTAAACTGGAAAATGTTACAGTAGCACTAACCTCATAAACATAGTGTAAGGGACATATAATGAAATGATCTAATGTGAAAACAATGAGCCAAGTACCAGCACACTGCAAATATTCAGTCAATATTAATTAACTCTGTGGATAAATGCTCAAGAGCATTGAATCAGGGGCACATGGTACGTGACTATTATCTGGCCCACCCAATGGCCAGGAAAAGTCATTATTATCTGGCACTGTTAACACTTCCTTGAAAATTCACATCATTAGCCAGTTGAGAAACCAGCCCCGGACACTTCAAATTCTTACATATTTTGATACCAGTTTTCAGCTAATATCCTACATTATTTATTGTTTTTAAAAGAATTTAAAATCCTTTCTGAATCCTAGGAAACACTGAACCCAAACCCAGGACAGAAAGTGTGCTGAAATGCTTTAAATATGCTGCTCCTATTAGCTCCAAATACAAATTTTATATTTTATATAGGAACTTGCCTATGTTGCTGACTAAACATTAGGTCATCAAACAGTATGGGGAACAAGATATGTCATTTTAAAAGTTTACTTTGAGGCTGAAGTCTGGCTGAGGTCTGGCAAGGACCTAAATTACTTTCTGAAACACCAAGATCTCCGGAGCGTTTTGTGGATTATGTTGAAGGGAAGATCAAGATTTAAACTTGCCGGGATGGGCCGCTATTCTTCTGTAAATTGCTAAAACCGAAAGCGAAGACAAAAGACGATGGCAGAAACAAAAACGAAAAAATCATTTAAATACCATCGCAGTGGAGATGACAGTGAAGCATAGAAAGTTCCGGCAAAAGCATCACACGACTCACTGGCTTTAGACAGAGCAACGTGAAACAGCGGACATGAACTTTACCTTCAGAGTCAAGACTACATTTTCTGGCTGTGGAAGTCAAGGCAGATGAGAAGTTTGTGTGAGGCAGAGGCAGCGTGTGTCAAGAAAACAGAAAAAATGATGTGAGTGATTAGCTACAACGAGAACATTCATATCCCACACAGATAAAACCAAGTGAGAAAAAGAGCAACACAAGACAAGAGATTCATCAGAGGAACAGTGTGTTTTGGGTAGAATCAAGTTTGGAACTTACCTCTGAATTCACATTTGGATTTCTTAAAAGGTTCTTAATCAGTACGCTCGTCAGTTATGGACAGGAGAATGACAGGGAAAGGTACAAACGCTGAACACACTAACCAAGTGGTGTTCATAAAACAGAGAATCGGCAGTTGCCTAGGACCCCAGAGCCAAAGGCAACAGCTTCTAAAGTGTCCTTCCTAAAATGAAACTCTAATGGTATCGTTGCCTTGCTTATAGCATGTCACATTCCCACCATATTTAACTCAGACTTTGTAATGTGGTTCTATATTATTTAATCCTGACGTCATGTCCCCGTTCCTCCTGGCCATTCTTATACCCAGAAAGCATCCTGCTCTCTCTCCCCTCCTTCACTTGGGGTTCCCTCATGCTGCCTCCTTGTTCAGAACATTATTCCCTTCCCTCTTCCCCTGATGAAACTCAAGTCTAACCTTGAATGCTGCTTCCTCCAGGAAGTCTGTCTTGACAGCCGAGTCTGGGTTTCCTGCACATCCCCCCTTCGTGCCGCCTTGGCGTTCTACACTTGCCCTTTCGCAGCACTTACCCCACTTAGGGTGACTGGCTCCCATGGGACCATTTCCTGAGTCATGCTGCACACTCCAGGGGAGCAAAACCATAATAGTCACACTCACCATTCTATCCCAAGTGCCCAGCCCGGGTCCTGGCATACAAAAGGTGCCTATTCAGAATCAGATAAAATAATAAATTGAGGGAATAGGACCCACTGCCTTAGACCCGTGATTCCTACGCAGTGGTCCAGAGATGGGCCTGATCAGAGACGAGGATGGACTAATCCACAGTGACGTAGAAAAATAAAGAAGAGGCAATCAGTTTCCCAAAAAGTGGGACATTTATAAGACAATCCTTTTTTGGGTGTGGGGGGGGGGAGGTAATATGTGTACAAGGGAGTCAAAGTTATTATTAGTTACGGTTGATTTTCAATGACCTTTTGTGGCCGAATAAAATTAGGTGACTCTATGTTGCCAGATTATGTTTTTTGAAATTGTCTGGTTCAGAAAATCCAAGTTTGGAAACAACTGCCTTAGATGGCAGATTTTCCCAGGCGTGAAAGAAAAATGTTTGTAATATTAATAACTCTTAAACGAGGCATCCAAAATGCTGGTTTGGACAGTTCAGATACACTTGCCCCAGGGTACCACAGGACATTTTGAATGACCCCTGTCTCCCTTCCTGGGTGAGGGCCCCACAGGCTTGTTTGTCACCTCCCAAACTTGCCACCTTAAGCACCTCAGAGTGCGAGTGAAAAATGCTGGTTTGGGGCTCCTCCCCTGGAGAGGGTGTCAGGAGATTTGGGTGAGAGCAGGAATCTGTCTTTAACGTAGCCCTGTGTCATGGCTACAACTAGGTAAGTCTCGGAAACCTGCTCTTAGCTCCCAGGGTTGATCGTGGTGGCCTGCAGCCAGGGCAGAACCACCTGTAAGCTACACCGGTCAGCTGCTTGTTTTGTGCTTAATTTTCCCACCCAAGGGTCAGCCTGGCCTGATACGTTTGGGAGGGTACCAACAAACCCCTTGGTGGAGCTGGGTGCATATCCACCTTCTCCATTTCCACACTGGTTGTCCTGTAGGTACAAGGCTCTGATCCATGCAATGCAGCAATTTGCACCCTGGCTCTGTCCCTTAGTGCCTGTGAATTCCCTCCTCCAATTAATTGCCCATTATCATCACCCAGGGACCTTTTGAAAAACATCAATGACCAGACAACCCTGACCAACTACATCAGAATCTCTGTGGTCAGGTCTAGGCATCGATACAATGCCTTGGTTACCTTATCGACAGAATGGGGATAAGAGGAGACCCTATTTTATGCGGTTATTGCAAAGACAACTTGAGAAGCAACATGTTTCGTGCATTATGCTGTTGTAAGCACTCTACACGTACTATTTAATGTATGTTGAGTTAATACACGTGAAACACTTAGACCAGTGCCTGCCAGAGTAATGCTCAATCAATAACAATGATAATAATAATAATAATCGAGGCACATCAGCATTATTCTCATCTCTGAGCTCCAATGAGCCTTGGATGACAACCCTGGTCATGGACTGTCTTGCAGTGCCTTCTATCAAAATGCCTCTGGGGCCGGCCGAGTGGCGCGATGGTTAAGAACTGGCTTGGGATGCCAGAGGGCCCCGGTTCGGATCCCACATATGAGGGCCAGTGACACTGCCCTCCACAGCTAAGATGCTGAACAACAGCTCAACCTGGAGCTGGGCTGCTGTGAGTCGCCAGCGACGGCGTAGGCTGCAGCCCCTGTGGCAGTGGGTTGCCATGGGCTACCGTGTGTAGCCAGCAGCCAGCGTGAGCGGCCAGCAGCCGCAGTGAGCGGCTGTCCAGAAGCCGGCGACTGATCTGCCTCGCCCGGGAAGAGCACAATGATGGTGCCAACTTGGGCCAGTGAAGCAACATCCTCCATAACTAGACTGAAGAACAAAAGGACAGCAACTTGTCTGTTCCCCTTCCCCCAATTCCCCAGCACTGTTCCCATCCCTGCAGTTCCCCCAATAAAAAAATCTTTAAAAACAAATGCCTCTGAGAGCCCTAGGAGATAACTTCCCTTACTTGGAGAGGCGAGCGTATTCTTTCAGGCAGCTCGTCACCGCCCTCTCGGAGGGCAGGACACAAGGACCTATTCACTTACCTTTTGCAAAAATGTAGGGTTCCAAATTATTGCAAACCCACCTGCGCTGATGACCTGACATTTACTAAGTGCCAAACCCATGTCCCATGATGGTTAGCGCTATGAGGTCATGAAAAGCCGCAGGGACAGGTCCCAAGCCCTGCACCTGCCCCCAAAGGAAGCTTCAAGAAAGGAAAAGGTAGTGACTGAGGAATGAAATGAATGAGGAAGATACAAACCAGGTCAATCTAAAGGAGGGTTAACGGAGAGGCTGGTACAGAGACATACCATGACTGCGTGGGAACTAATTCAGGAAGTCATCCCAAGGAAACTTGCCATTCCTACAGACAGTGATGTACACAGTGAACAAGATGACAGGCGGTGGGCTTGCTGGGACAACTGTTCCCCGAAACGTGGGTGGCACTCAGGGGTCATCAGTGGGGAGTGATCATAAGTCATATACTTAAATTGCCCCAAACTATGCATTCTTTGAGGATGGGAATTGTGCTCTTTTATTTAATTATGCAGCCACCACTTGAGAAGGTAGGCTGAGGCTCTCTTTACAGAGACTCCATGTGAGCATGTCAGGTGGGTGATGTTTCCCTTCATTTCCAGCCAGCACGGGGAGAATCTGGAAAGGGGCCGCCTACCCTCTCGGATCCCCCAGGGAATATATTCAGGTGCTCTGCAATACTGGCTGTGCTTGGCATGGCTCATTTCTGAATCTTGAGCACGGGGCTTGGCACACGCTGGGCACGCTGAAAGCTCCATAAACTAATGGCTAAATGAGTTGCCCATGAAATCTCTACCTCAACACCTCTGGTAGAGACAGACTATTCCTGTGAAGATTAAATGAGTTAATAATTGTAAGTCATGTTCATGGGTGTCTGCCCCATAGTATATGTTATAGAAATGCTAGGAAACTAGGATTATTAGAGTTGTTTCTTGGATGTCTATAGTTTCATCTGTCTAGTCCTCATGTTTCCTTATGGCTCCTTAATTCCAAGTCCTCTTTCCCTTCTAGACTTCCATTTCTGCCTGGCCTTTTTTCCCCAGAGACAATTACCTGCTCTAGCATTTTATGGTTTAACAGATAAAAGGCTGTCACACTGCCCACAGCTCAAGATACATGATAGTTGTTTCTATTATTTTTGTTGGTGGTGTATTTGTTGGTTTGGAGCTAGTCTGGTCTGGGTACAAATCCCAGCTTTGTCATTTAGTCCCTGGGTGACCTTGGACAAGTTCTCTAGCCTTTCTGAGTATAGGATTTTCTTGCATGTACAGTGCAGAATACTTCTGTTTGGACACATGTTATTGTGAAGAATAGAAACAATGTAAAGCTTCCAATCCAGTGCATGGCAGACAGTAGTAGACAAGAAATGGTGTCTCCTATTGTCACAGAGAGAAAAATGACCCAGTTTAAGAACATGCTTGGAGAAGCTTTGTGCCTTAAGCCAAGTGTTTACAAATGGAAGCAAGACCTTATTTCTCATTTACTCAACTTGTCTTTAAAGTCACGGTTTAAGTGCCAGCTCTACCGTGGAGTCTTTCCTGATTTCCCCAAGTACAAGTACATGCTCCCTCCTCTGAACATTCACAGTCTTCTACCAGAACTTCTTGTAGGATGTACATCGCTCTCCATCCTGTATTCCAGTTACCTACTGTATGAGTCGGCTGGGCTGCGATAACAAAGTGCCACAGTCTGCGGTATCTTAAACAATGTAAGTGTATTTTCTCATAGTTCTGGGGGCAGGAAAGTCCAAAATCAAGGTGTTGGCAGGTTTGGTTTCTTCTAATGCCTCTCTCCTCGGCTTGCAAGTGGCTGTCTTCTCCCTGTGTCTGCACATGGTTTTTGTCCTCTCTGTCTGTGTCCTAATCTCCTTTTCTTATAAGGACATTAGTCAGACTGGATTAGGACCTACCCTAAAGGCCCCATTTTAACTCAATTACCCCTTTAATGACTTTATCTCTGAATACAAAACCATTCTGAGGTACTGGGGATTAGGGCTTCGATAGGTGACTTTTGGACACAATTCAGCCCATAACATCCATGCATGTATCTTATCCCTCAGCCTCTCCCTCACCAACTGTGGGTTCTCGGACTACAGGCCATACTTGCACATGTCTGCACCCCTACCACGCATTGTTTCTAGTGAGTTCCCTGTAAATATCAATTAAATAAATACATAAAATAAAATAAAGTGTAATAATGTCGGGGAGGAGAAGGGGCCCAAGCATCTTAACCTACACACTACTTTCAGCTTTCAGCTAACATCAGAAAGGAGGCCAGTCTGTGAAAGGGAGTCATTCCCCTCCCGAAGTCAGCCCACCCCTCACCCCCGGAACAAAAGGTCTGCACTTTGGAATGCTTCTGAACCTCCCCCATGAAGAAAGTTCACTAAAAGAGCTCCCAAGCGTAAGGTCACCGACTCAGCGGCCCAGGCCCCCCAGCCATCTGAGAGCTCAGAAGATAAACCACTGAGCTCAGGGCTGTGAGCGCTAAAATGGCTCCCCAGGGCCACTCGCCTAGACAGATCTTCCCTGTGTGACTGAGCTAATTAGACAGCCGGTGGACACTGGCCAGTATAGAAGATGATGTTGGTGCCCACCATGTCCCTCAGGTCTTAGTCACCGTGGTGTTCCTCCTTAGACTTCTAACTTCTGGTATCATTAACTCTGTGCTCTGAGGCATTTTCCGGAACATAAAAGGTCAGGAGTGCTCAGGCGTTAACACTCTCCCTCAGCCCCCCGTGGCCCAGAGCTGGCTTCCATCTTGGTGTATAGATACCTCAGCTCCCCGTTCCCGTGGGCTAATTTGGATGCAGTTGTTCTGCACGGTTTCCCACAGCAGCTCTGCAGGATGAAGCCCTACTCGCCCCCTGGCGGAGGGGGGCGTAATGACACCTTTTATAGGCTGCCCTCCTGCCCCTGTATTGCCTCCCCACTTCCCAGTCAGTGTTCCCTGCCTCCCAAACAAATGTCTTGCCCTTGAGTCTTTGACTCAAGGTCTGCTCTGAGAGAGCCTAACCTAACACACCTAGCATGTACCAGGCTAAAGCCAATCAGAAGCTTCCCTCCCAAGGTGGCCTGGCTTCTTTGGCATCTTTGCTTAACTAAATCCTTCTTCCTTGAATCACTGTGGGAAACGTAACCCAATCCACACCTAAGGTTCATTCGTGTAGCCTCAATTCTGTCTCCTCTCTCCACTCCACCCCCACCCCAATGGTTCTTATCAGTTGGCAAAGTCATCTGATGCGGGGAGGAAATCGGGAAACAAGGAGCCCCGACTTTACAGGAACCCCAAACCTAATACCAAGCCAACCATAGTTGGGACTTGCCTAACTGAGAATTCTGCCATGGACAGTGGCAGCCCAACGCCAACTGCTTTCATCATTGTCTTGTTAACCACTTTGTACCAGGACAGGAGAGAACAAAGTGCCGGCCCTGCAGGACGAAGGGCCTGACAAACAGATTCAACGATTTTTTATTGTCATAATAGCATTCAAGGCAACACACATTTGTCTGTTTGTTTCACTGGCAACCTACACTCATAAACCAAAATCAAAAGAGCACATCCATGTAGATGTCAGCGGAGCGAATGACCAGCACCTTGGTATTAAGTAGAGATGTGAAAGGCACCGTATAATGTTTTCTGAACACACTGCCCGCTTATCTTAGCAAGCTGTGCAAGGCCCTCCTAGGATGAGGCCCCAGCTCCACTTCCCTTCCTCCCCTTCCTCACCCACCAGCCCCGTCCATGGGCTTCTTTCTTCCACACCTCGTCCTGGTGGCTCCTGTGGTCCCCACAGCCTGGAATGCCAGCAAAGCCACCTCTCCACCTGCTCCAGTCGTTCTTATCCTTTTTACAACAAGTCCCAAAATTGCCTCACAGAAGTACTTCTTCCGGTCAGAATGAATTATTTTTCCTCAACGTTCCTCTGCATGTGATTTATAAATCTACTTATTTCCTTCTTCTCCTTCCCCTCTTCTTTCAATAATTAGATACTGTCTCTGCAGTACGCCTCTCAGCCTCATGAGACCAAAGGCTGGCTATCTGCCTCTTCTCTGTCTCCCTTCCAATTCTAGCCAAGCTCACACAGAGTGCTCGAAAAACATTGTTCAAATGGGAAGCTACTTTTTAACAAACTATCTTTTTTTTTTTTAAAGATTTAAATATTGGGAAATTGGGGGGATGGGAACAGTGCTGGGGAATTGGGGAAAGGGGAACAGACAAGTTGCTGTCGTTTTTGTTCTTCAGTCTAGTTGTGGAGGACGTT